CTTTGGGCTCTGATACAATACAAAAATTCCATGTTTCTGCACACCTTCGACAATTTTCAATTTCAACACCATATATTTTTCTACTATGGCGACTGTCCCGATTTGTGAATGAACCATTTCGAACACGATGTCAAAGTCAGTTGAGATTGATATTGGAATTTCGGCATACTATGACTCCACCTGTCAATATTCCGCTGCGACTTCATATTCCAGATGATGCTATGTTTGAGAATATTCGAAAGTGGATGCTTGGTTTCACATTCTTTCATCGTATCCATTTTCCACCTCTCCACAAACCACGGGCACCTATCATCCATATAAAGAACCAGACTTGGGGACAAGTACTTTTCAATTTTCGACGATTCCTGAAATGGTGGTATCCAGACAGAACACCGACTTGCACGTGCAATCGATTTCCAAGCCATATTCAACAAAAGAAAAAGAATACTCCACACATTGTCGCCTGGGCCTCAGAATGCTTTCCAGATATTCCAGAATTTCGTCACCACGCGGGCAGTGAAGTGACACCTACATGGCGGATATTCCATTATCAAGCTACAGAACCATTCGAGAAATGGTTACGAAAATGGCGTTTACCCGCACACCTTCAACAATATTGGCAATATTTTCTGAATCAACAATGGAAACTATTTCGAGAACAACATGGACCTACACATCGTCGACAAAGTCAACTTCGCCAGTTACTTAGTCTATTTATTGCCACTCCAGCAGATCATTTTCCCAACTCCTTATTACTGATGTGCCCAGTTCAGTACCATATTCTACTTCAAAAAACTTTTGGCGATACAACAGTATTTCGACCGTCACATCTTGGTGCAGAAGAAATTATGACAAATATTCAGGAGAATGTGCCTTCTTGGATTAAAAAGCAGTATCGCTGGGGACTGAACTTCCAATATGCTTTGAGTACAGCCTACCTTTTGCCTAAACCCACACGCCAATTTGAAAAAGCAAGACCCATTGTCGACTACTCGCATTCTTGGTTAATGAAACTAGGTGGGTGTCTTGCTACAGCACTTTTGGAAATCAGTAGACCGGTCTTCACCAATCTCATGCAGTTCACAGACGTTGAATCTATACTAACAGCTGTACGACACATTTTTGCAATCCACGACCTGGAGGATACCTTGGATATATTACAACAGGACATTGCTGGTTTCTACAATCAAGTTTCTCATGACCGTATCATCAACAGCGTGGAATTCACAGTCCAACGATTTATTGACCTTCAACAATGCCCACAGGATCAAGTTCTCAACATTACTTCACGCAAGCTAGAAAGGACACAACGATTATTTCGAGGACGTTGGAGAGCTCATAGCAAGCAGCATCATATCATTACACTCAACCACATTGTTGACTTGACGAAGTACCTCCTTCGCCATAGCTTATTTTCACTGGGATGTGTTAGCTATCGACAGATACAAGGCGCATCTATGGGCTCACAGTGGGCCCCAGTTGTATGTTCACTAGTTGCCCTACATCGAGAGCACACCTACAGCATGCTTTTTGGACAAGCCATTTTTTCTGGAAAACTTTTTAGTTCCTTTCGTTATGTTGACAACCGTTTGCTTTTGGGTCCACAACAACTCACTGATCGCCTTCGACAAACTTGTTTTTGGAATTTAGACTTCTACACCTCGCCCATTCTTTTGGAAGAAGTACAGGGTTTTGATGCGCTTGGATTCAACATCAATCCACATCAACGTACCATTACATCGGTATTGCCTTGGGACACAGTGATACGCACTTCCGCTGGTTTTGGACCTAGAAGCTCCATGTATACAAGTCTCATTGCTCGAACACGTCTAATTCTACAAAATACTTTTCCTCGTGAACTTCAACTTCCTCAAGTTCAAGACCTGCTCGCCCTTCATACCCTTCAGGAACCTAGATACCGCGAATGCATTCCTCAGATCATTTCGATTGCCCGCAGTTTTGGACACAAATGGACCAGACAACAATTGACACCGTTTGACTGAAAAGAAGCCGTCGTAGCTGCATTTTGGTTTTGTGCTTTTCATTCCAATTGCAACTTTGCAACTGTTCAAACGTTTTCTGCAACATCCCACCCAAAACGCCTGGCTCGCAGTGTGATATTTGTTTTCCGTAATTGATTATATTTAGTTCTCCAGCTTAGTTTACGTCCGTTGTTCTACTCTATATGGTTCACGGTACTGCAACACACTGGCTTAAGTGTTATATAACTGTGATTTAATCAATCCATTTACTGTTTTCATCACTGCGTTCTATCTCAACCACCTGACCTACGTGTTCTACGCGTCGGAATCTCAGTTTTTGGCGAATTCTGCCCTTCGTCCATAGACAACTAACAAACGTTCATTTTAAACGGATTTGTTGAAGAACAAGACTACAATCGATGTGTGTCCATTTCATTTCGTGGTATCCATGTTTCAATCGAAGTGCAGTTCTCTTCACTTTTTAACACTCCAAAGTCATACTGTCCTTGCTCTATTTGTTCCACGCGTCGGCAACCCAGAAGTGTCACCTTCCTTATGAAGACATATGTATATATGTGTATACCGCTCTCCACACGTAAAGTGTTTCGCAATCTGCAACAAACAATTGATGTTCGTGAGGGACAAGGGCACGATAACTTTGGATTGCATCATATTCAATTATTTCGCTAATACAAACTTTGGATTGCATCATATTCAATCATTTCGCCAATAACAATTAACACCTTTTAATCTAACCATGTCCTTTCCATTTCGACTTTATTTATCGCGATTTCTTTGATTTACGTGGTCTACTTGCTCTACACGCCGCTACCTCAGAGTGCCTTCTTTGGAAAGACCTGTCCATGAAGATGCAGGTGCGTATACACCTAATCCCAAGCATGAATTTCATTTTCGAATGAGTTCAACGTTGCTTATATTGACGTGATCTGCTTGCTTCATTAGGCAGTCTTTCAGAATTTGCCTTCCATGTGAAGGCCTTTGTGTGTGTGTACACTGCTATTCACATGCAGAAAACTACAACTGGACATTTGATGACTATGCACGTTATGTTTTCCGAATTCATGCGCCAAAGACTATGCACGTTATGTTTTCCGAATTCATGCGCCAAAGACTACTTAACAGCAGGGGGCTGCAGGGAATGTCATAGTTCTGCAGCCAACGAAGACGGCTATGACATTCTGTGATATCGATCCGGGACGCTGGATCGACGCACCTGCCTAATCATGTCTTTCCATTTCCGCGATGGGATGTGGCTAACCCAAGAACCACCTTGCCGATTAATGATTTGGACCTGGTTGCACCTGTTTATCAAGGATGATGGACTCAGGAATTCTACCAGGCATGTACAACCACATCGTCATTGCAGTTCACTTCCAAAAATCAACAGTGTGTGTATGGCGGGGTTTCCATGAGATGTTTTATTTTGTGTTCTAAAGTGATGCAAAATGGCTGTGTTCTAAAGTGATGCCTGAGAGTGTGTTCCAAAGTGATCCTTTTACCAGACCACTGGCATGGGGCCATAGTGCACAAATCTAACTTGTCCGCTCGATAGAGTGGCCCTTTCTTATCGCACATGAACGGACCTTTCTACCAAGAAGGAAGAAATGATATTAGGGGAAACAACAAGTCACAGCATGATTATGACAAGAAAGGCACGCACTGCAAATCTGCACACGAAACCAACTATGGTGTTTGTGGCTTGTCACCGCTCACTCTCCTTCTTGGCCCAAGATCTTGTGATTGGCGCTAAGACATGAAGAAATGAAGCGCTTTTGCTATCGTTGCGCTGCTGCATTTGGGACTCCCAAGCGAATATCGAGACAGCTTGCCACTGAGCTAGAATAGAGATTGCCACAAATAGTGGACCATGCGTTGAGTGCATTCATTTTGCTGGAAAAAATGCGGTTAAACTGTACTGTTTATATATCATATCCAATTTTACAACAAGGCAAAAGTTAGTGCGGAATCGCTGAAGAAGCTGGGCCGCCGCAGAACTGTCTCAGAGAGCATGCAGCTGTCAAGGATGGACCTTAGTCGACGGCAGCCATCCTTAACAATCCTTAACATGGACACCAAGTTTCCCTGCTAAAATATGGCGGTCTCGAACGGACCCCTGTTGTGCTTTCGTCTTTTAAAGAGATAACAATATGACATTGGGTGAAGCCGTTGCTAGGAATGATAGGCATGTGAACTTTGTTAAAGGAGCCACTTGGGGGATCTCTGAGAGTTTGTATCCGTAAGATTCCGTAAGTACCCGTTAGATCCCGTCTGACATATGGAGGAACTCAGGGCTGTTAGTGACTTAGTCTGCCAAGTTAGGGCGGAGGGATGACTTGGCCTCAGGAGGCCGTGGAAGCCGCTTCGGTGAGGATCTCAGGTGTCGGTTGGAGTAGGAGCTACCTGTACTATGTAGCAATCAGTTGGATATTTTTGCCTTGCAACAGATTTCAGATACTTACAGAAATATACTTACAAATATGTGATATATATAATTATAATTTATAATTATAATTACGTATATTATGTATATATATATATACAATATTATACAATTCTGATATGTGTTTGAAATCTTGACCAGTCCTTGAGGTAGGGGAAGATGTGTGAAGGTTGCGTTCAATCAGACACTGAGAGGCGAAAAGTGATCATTGTTGGAATGCTACTGATGTGTGAAACATGTGAAAGTCCAGGAGCTTGTCATCGCAGTTCAAAGGCTTCAGGTAGGTGAAGGGGTGTGCATCAGATGTTGCCTTATCTGAGGTTGCAGTTGCCCAAAATACTTGTAAAATCTTGTAAATGTTTGTTTGTACAACAAGCTGCAACATCTTAGAATACTGTATATGTGTGTGTATACATATGAATATATTATGTATCCGTATAATTCCGTATATATAATTCCTGTCCGTATATATATATATATAATCACAATATGCATTTATGCATGTCATTCATATGTGTCCCGTTCCTCTTAGCTGGGCTGGATATTGAAGCCCCTTCGCAGCCATTAGACTTTTGGAGCGACTACCCGCGGCTTGCCGCCCTGCCCCCCCCTGCCCGATGCCGGCCAATTCTGCAGTGGTTGTGTGTGCCTTTGTCATGAAGTTTTTGGGATGGTGGGCTGATTGAGATTGACCCCCATGATTCCATGCCGCGTTTTGCATTTTGAATATTGGAGCTATGTCCACGCAGAAAATAACATACCAACTAAAGAAATACACAGAAAAGCTCTGCAGCGACTCTTTCGGTGACTGATAGAACTGATCTTGCTTGGGCATTTCAAAATACGCTTCAGCAAGCACCTTATTGGCTGGAAAGGTGTGCGATCAGATTTTGAACTATACTGCTTTTGTTCAAACTCCCAGCTGGCTGTTCTATAAAAATGATCATTTGTTGATGCGGAAATCAACTTTGCAACCAACAAAAGTATTTTGCACGCATACATATGCATACACCATGCAGCGGTAAAGTGAAGGTGACCAATCATAAACCCATCAATCTGTATAAGCAGACTTGCTAAAGTCCAATGCATGGCATGTGCCGCATCCCGCCGTTACAGGTGAGGATGCAGATGCCCATCCCTTCGCACAGATGCCCCCAGAGACTTGCTTCTATGGGGGCCGTTGGACAATGGTTTGCAGCAGATGCTGCAGATGCTTCATGCGCGCAGGAATTCCAAAACAACGAGCCGTTTTATTTCTCAAGGGTGCACTAATATTATTATCTATAAATAATATACATAAATAGATGGGTTGGATTGGATAAGACAAGATAAGATATATATATATAATTATTTATAGATAGATAGACAGATAGACAGATAGACAGATAGACAGATAGACAGATAGATAAGATAGATTAGATAGATTAGATAGATTAGATAGATTAGATAGATTAGATAGATTAGATAGATTAGATAGATTAGATAGATTAGATAGATTAGATTAGATAGATTAGATAGATTAGATAGATTAGATTAGATAGATTAGATAGATTAGATTAGATAGATTAGATTAGATAGATTAGATTAGATAGATTAGATTAGATAGATTAGATTAGGTTAGATTAGATTAGATTAGATAGATAGGTAGGTAGGTAGATAGGTAGATAGGTAGATAGGTAGATAGGTAGATAGGTAGATAGGTAGGTAGGTAGATAGATAGGTAGATAGATAGGTAGATAGATAGATAGATAGATGGGTAGCTGGGTAGCTAGGTAGCTAGGTAGATAGATAGATAGCTAGGTAGCTAGGTAGCTAGGTAGCTAGGTAGCTAGGTAGCTAGGTAGCTAGGTAGATAGGTAGATACGTAGATAGATAGATAGCTAGACAGGTAGCTAGATAGCTAGATAGGTAGATAGATAGATAGATAGATAGACAGATAGACAGACAGACGGATAGATAGAAGGACGGATCGATGGACTGATGGATGAATGGATGGATAGATAGGCAGATAGAATCATATGTATATCCGTCTGCACATGCTAGACCTATCATATCTACATGTTGCCAGCTTCTGACAGAACGACCTGCCTAAAATGTCCATGTTCATTGTAAATTTTTGGTTTTAAGACGAAGGATACAAAGGACATGGTCTAGTCTCGAGGTACCAGCATGTTTGTAGATCATCAACTGCCAAGGCGACCACTTTGAAGAATCTACCGACAGCGGCGCTGACCGGTTGACTTGACTGCAGATATTGGTTTCTCCCATTAAATACATATCTAGGCCTATAGGTAACCTTCCGCTTGTGACTGCAGCGTCACGCCTTTTTTTGAGATATTTCCTTGAGCTGAGAGAACCTCCATTGATTTGGTTTCTTTACACCAAGCCCCCCGCAGGGTCTTCCCAGTCCAAGGTTTAGTATGCGATTGCGCAGCACGCGGTGAAATCGAGGGTCCCAAGCTCAGTAGAGAGACAGCACATCTGCAGGACAACGGTAGCCATTGGATCCTACGCATGAAGAGTGAAATGATCACGGCGAAGTAGTGGCATGTTGTTCCGTTTCTGTCACTGTGTTCTTAAGTAAATGATAGTAAATGTTGATTTTGTCTATCTTAACCTTGACCTGTCAATCCAAACCTTAATATTAACCTGTCATAACAATGATTGACCATGAGTGCTTCTTTCAGCTTAGCGATCTCTTTCCGCGCTGTCGCACAAGACATGCGTCACCCACCCAAGCACACACTGACATCGCATTCAGGTATTCGCAGTTTGATCGAAGCGCGGGCAGATCCAAATATGGGCACTGCCTACGACATGCGAACCCCCTTGCATCTGGCGGCTGCAGCAGGTTGCCTGGCTACATTGGGTGTTATCTTACACATCCGATAATCTAGTGATTTGATGTGATTTGAAAGTCAGTAAATCCGTAAAGATTATTATGAAGCAGCACTCAGTCTCATCGAATCAAGCTTTCGTGTAGACAGCCTGTGATACTGGATGAACACTGATTTCTGCATACAGGCACTGCCGCATCCCTATCTTGCGAGTATACGTGTACCATCTTGTACCGTTGTCGTGCTGCAAGATTTTGAAGGATGGTTAAGATTGGATTGTATTGGATTCTTGACCCGCAGCTTTGCTTCAGGTAATTTGAAATTAGCGCGATTCTTGATTGAAGACTGCGGTGCGACCTTGCGAAGAGATCGCTTTGGGCTACTCCCAATCCACGATGCGGTGCCTGGGTAGACGATGGTAGACCCGATTTGTCACCGCAATATGCCATAGTTATGCAGGACGAATATGTGGATAAATGAGTCAAATATAGTTAAATGGTGCAAGAGGTCCTGCTTGCAATGGAAATTCAGAGGTGCTGCAGCGGTGATACCCGTACGAAGAGGATATGTTCGAAGCCAGCTTGTTCTGCCACATCGCAACGAGTTTGGAAAGACATTAGAAAGACTTGCCCTGGTCATCTCATGAGCCCTGAGGTTCAGAATGGCCACAACGATGTGCGGCGATACCTGCAAAGCTGGAAGTTATCAGCCACGGAGTGCTTCATTCGAAAACACGTGGCCTCCAACAAAACTCCTGTGGCTCGGAGGATGTGTCACGACATGTGGTGGCACGCCGCAAAACACAGGGGGCGGTGTGACAACAAGCAGAATGTCCACAAGTATAGACGTAAGATGACGTAAGTATACCACAAGTACAGAAGGTCAGGATTTAAACCAAAGAATTTTAAACAATCATTTACAATATGTCTACTGTACGTATTTCTACGTTACAATCTGCCTTTCTGGTCTTGTTCTTCCCTTACTCGTACTTTTTTGTTTCATTCTTAACATCATTGCTACTTCTGAGTGTACAGATAGGTTTCAATGTTTTAATGTTTTCGGGATCTAGTGAAGTTTGATCCATGCCTCTTCTGTGGCTTGCGCTAAGGTTGACTCCAAATCTGTCGAGAATCTTGTGATCATGGGGGATCAAATGGAACCTTTGCCAGAAGTGATGAGTGCCTTATCTTTGTGATGCAAAGCATGTAATTATCCTTCCACTTTGAAAACAAGAGTAAGTTGTCGGGAGATCAGATGAGCCAAATGGTTTCGAGCAAAAGTTTCGAAAGATGTTGATTGAACCAAGGTGCCGTCTTTGAGCTTGTCGTCAAAGAAGGTATTTTCAGCTACAGCCGCCTGGAATGAATCATGTGAGATCTGTTTGTTCAGATTCCGCATTGCACTTATCAACAAGAAAAATCAAGAAAACCAACCTCTGTAAGCCTTGAAGGGGATTTGGATGCCCTACCAGGAGCATCAGGGTGTCAACCAATAAATTTCTTTGCGGACTTGGTTTGATCCTTCCCAGAATGTAGGTGATCTGGTTTTCAACTTTGAGCATATCCATTTACTCCATTGATTTCAAAAAAAATCTGAAGTATGTCCTTGCGGCCAGAGTTTTCTTGGCCCAGCGACATTTACCCGGACTGGTATTAGAATACACTTAATATTCATGAACATTCCCGTCCCCATGAACATTCCCGTCCCTGTAATATCCTACAATTGTGATTGATGCTTGTTGAAAGGTCAAGTACAGATTCTGCATTATTTTGGAATCGTGCAAATCACGCAGTCGCTTTTCAAAAGATGCCGTCACGACCAGCCTCTGTTAGGTACCGTCCAAGCCGAAGTGGAACATTTCTTCAACAGCTTGGGCTTCCATCGTCCCTGGTTTTAACAGCAATAACAGAGTCTGATATCTCTATTTGATTCCATAAATCTTTGCCAGTTCAAAGATGTCGAAAGCAAGGCTTCAGATCTGCAAGATTCTGCAGGAGTTTCTAATGATGAAATGAAGGAGGGGTGTGTTGAATGAGCCACCTGTGGAGTTGAGGCATGTACTATCAGCATTTCACCTCGATGCAGATTGCCAAGCACATCCAGTGCCTCATTGCAGCGAGCCCTTGCTGGAATTCAGTGCTGTAGACGAATCCTTGGCCGAGAATCTCTGAGAGCAAGCTCTAGCTCCGTAGCGGCCGTAGCGCAGTCTTTTTTTGGCAAGGCTGAAGATCATTGAAGATCCGGTAGATTTGCTGATTCCACCAGCGCAGATGTACACCTTCGACAAATTCGAGTGAAGTACTGTAAGTGATTCAAATTAGGGAAGATGTGAACGGTTGAAGCAACGCTGGCATCGCTCAGGAAGCATGTGGCACATGCGTGGCTTGGTTGAATGACGGAGATTTTGGGAGAAACAAGATTCAAACGAGAAAACAAGGTTGCACTATATTCATTGTGTTCTATTCAACCTATTCTGTGATTTCAATATCTTGTTTCAGTGTTTCAGTCTGAGAGAACACTTTAGCGACTGAGTCAAAGATTCGATTTTGAATTTGATGAGGACAAACCACCTTCACTCTCTGGAGTTCGATCTATGCACTGAGCACAATGCCTTCTTCCTAACAACTCTGGGATGCTCGGCATGAGGTAAAAGTATGTTGCCTATGAGTCCAAGGAGCAAGGAGTGGTTGTTAGCACTTGTTGAGAGCTTCTCAGTAAATGGCCAAGTGATACAGAGATCTTGTTTGTTTCATCACTTAGATTCGAATGATTCAGGTTGTATACTGAGTATACTGTAATGTTTGAAAATAGCACCAGAATCCCGTGTGCAAAAAAAATATTTGATTTATGTTTCCACACGACATGCTGGCCTCTGGCATTGAATGAGCTCCATCTCAAGCATCCACAAATTCACGTGTGACCACCCCTAACTGGCTTTGACGTCTCATCCCAAGGTTCCGATCCCAACGTCCCAACAGAGTCCCAGTTGAAGACGGAGGAAAAAATCGCAGAGCATCTTGGTGTCTCGGCCCAAAGCCCTCTGAAGAGCTCAAGCTGAAAGGTACAACAATGAATACAGCATAACAGTGCCCATGATATTGCCTGAAATATCCTTGAATCATCTTTTATTCAGCAGATTTCAGCAGTTTTCTCCCAGTTTCACGAATTCTTGTTATGAATTCAAGCGGTGTCATGTGTGGGGTTGTGAAACGCTACAGGCCTCGACCTCACTCAATCCATTTCGCTGACCTTCATGGCATCGGAAGGGCCTGCCTTCCGGGGAGAGAAGGAACAGCCGTGCTTCAACCGGGGGATGGGCTGGGATGGATGACCGATTTCATGGGACTCTCATGTTTGCTTGTCATTCTGGCGGCTATCAAGCTATCCCTGTTGCAGCAAGACCGTGCAAAATCACCGCTGCGTTCGAGAATCATCCTAATCATCAGAATCACCAAGAATCATCAAAAATCATCAAGAATCACCAGAATCATCAAGAATCATCAGAGTCATCAGAATCATCAGAATCATCAGAATCATCAGAATCACCAAGAATCATCAAAAATCATCAAGAATCACCAGAATCATCAAGAATCATCAGAGTCATCAGAATCATCAGAATCATCAGAATCATCAGAATCATCAGAATCATCAGAATCATCAGAATCATCAAGAATCATCAGAATCATCAGAATCATCAGAATCATCAGAATCACCAAGAATCATCAAGGATCATCAGAATCATCAGAATCGCCAAGAATCATCAAGAATCATCCGAATCATCAGAACCATCAGTATCACCAAGAATCATCAAGAATCATCAGAATCATCAGAATCACCAAGAATCATCAAGAATCATCAGAATCACCCAGAATCATCAAGAATCATCAAGAATCATCAAGGATCATCAGAATCACCAAGAATCATCAAGAATCATCAGAAACATCAGAATCATCAGAAATCATCAGAATCACCAGAATCATCAGAATCACCAAGAATCATCAAGAATCATCAAGGATCATCAGAATCACCAAGAATCATCAAGAATTATCAGAATCATCAGAAATCATCAGAATCATCAGAATCACCCAGAATCATCAAGAATCATCAAGGATCATCAGAATCACCAAGAATCATCAAGAATCATCAGAATCATCAGAATCATCAGAAAACATCAGAAATCATCAGAATCATCAGAATCATAAGAATCACCAAGAATCATCAACAATCATCAGAATCATCAGAATCATCAAGAACCATCATGAATCATCAGAATCATCAGAATCACCAAGAATCATCAAGAAACATCAGAATCATCAGAATCATCAAGAACCATCAAGCATCATCAAGAATCATCAGAATCATCAGAATCACCAAGAATCACCAAGAATCATCAAGAATCATCAGAATCATCAGAAATCATCAGAAATCATCAGAATCATCAGAATCACCCAGAATCATCAAGAATCATCAGAATCATCAATCATCAAGAATCATCAGAAATCATCAAGATCATCAAGAATCATCAGAATCATCAGAATCATCAAGAATCATCAAGAAATAATCATCAGAATCACCAAGAATCATCAAGAATCATCAGAATCATCAGAATCACCAAGAATCATCCGAATCATCAGTATCATCAAGAATCATCAGAATCATCAAGAATCATCAAGAATCATCAGAATCATCAGAATCATCAGTATCACCAAGAATCATCAAGAATCATCAGAATCATCAGAATCACCAAGAATCATCAAGAATCATCAGAATCATCAGAATCATCAAGAACCATCAAGAATCACCAAGAATCATCAGAACCATCAGTATCACCAAGAATCATCAGAATCACCCAGAATCATCAAGAATCATCAAGAACCATCAGAATCATCAGAATCATCAGTATCACCAAGAATCATCAAGAATCAGCAGAATCATCAGAATCACCAAGAATCATCCGAATCATCAGTATCATCAAGAATCATCAGAATCATCAAGAATCATCAAGAATCATCAGAATCATCAGAATCATCAGTATCACCAAGAATCATCAAGAATCATCAGAATCATCAGAATCACCAAGAATCATCAAGAATCATCAGAATCATCAGAATCACCAAGAATCATCAAGAATCATCAGAATCATCAGAATCATCAAGAACCATCAAGAATCATCAAGAATCATCAGAATCATCAGAATCACCAAGAATCATCAGAAATCATCAGATTCATCAGAATCATCAAGAACCATCAAGAATCATCAAGAATCATCAGAATCATCAGAATCACCAAGAATCATCAAGAATCATCAGAAGCATCAGAATCACCAAGAATCATCAAGAATCATCAGAATCATCAGAATCATCAAGAACCATCAAGAATCATCAAGAATCATCAGAATCATCAGAATCACCAAGAACCATCAAGAATCATCAGAATCATCAAGAACCATCAAGAATCATCAAGAATCATCAGAATCATCAGAATCATCAAGAATCATCAAGAATCATCAGAATCATCAGAATCATCAAGAACCATCAAGAATCACCAAGAATCATCAGAACCATCAGTATCACCAAAAATCATCAAGAATCATCAGAATCATCAGAATCACCAAGAATCATCAAGAATCATCAGGATCATCAGAATCATCAAGAATCATCAAGAATCATCAGAATCATCAAGAATCATCAAGAATCATCAGGATCATCAGAATCACCAAGAATCATCAAGAATCATCAGAATCATCAGAATCATCAAGAACCATCAAGAATCATCAAGAATCATCAGAATCATAAGAATCACCAAGAATCATCAACAATCATCAGAATCATCAGAATCATCAAGAACCATCATGAATCATCAGAATCATCAGAATCACCAAGAATCATCAAGAATTATCAGAATCATCAGAAATCATCAGAATCATCAGAATCACCCAGAATCATCAAGAATCATCAAGGATCATCAGAATCACCAAGAATCATCAAGAATCATCAGAATCATCAAGAATCATCAGAATCATCAGAATCATCAAGAACCATCAAGAATCATCAGAATCATCAGAAATCATCAGAAATCATCAGAATCATCAGAATCACCCAGAATCATCAAGAATCATCAAGAATCATCAAGGATCATCAGAATCACCAAGAATCATCAAGAATCATCAGAATCATCAGAATCATCAGAAATCATCAGTATCATCAAGAATCATCAGAATCACCCAGAATCATCAAGGATCATCAAGAATCATCAAGGATCATCAGAATCACCAAGAACCATCAAGAATCATCAGAATCATCAGAATCACCAAGAATCATCAAGAATCATCAGAATCATCAGAATCATCAAGAACCATCAAGAATCATCAGAATCATCAGAATCACCAAGAATCATCAAGAATCATCAGAATCATCAAGAAACTAAACAGGGAAGTCAGCTTTGCCAATTCAGGAATTGCTCTATACTAGTAGTGCAGTCCTAGCCTGGAGCACCAATGGGAGAGTGATGCAGCATGCCCGCAGGAGCGCCTAGGGATCTACAGTTTGGAGCGAGGTCATTTTGAAAAGAGTCGCGTCTCAGACCAAGAGACGTGTCTTAACGTTCTCGCCTCATCGGCCTTTCTGAAAGGCCGGGATTTGCGTGGGACAGGGCAGGACACAAGTGCGGAAATCACGGGAAATTTGGCAGCCTTGGGAGGATCATTTTTGCACTTCCGCAGCGGATGATTTAGAGCGATTAGACAGCATGAATAATTATTCATAGTGCTCAGAAAAAAGGAGTCTAGAGTCACATTACGTCAGATTTCTTTGCTACCTGACTGGACATTTGCTCCACTGTGCTTCACCTTGAAACTACAGAGTTGACTTGTAAGACTGCAGTAGTGCAGTCGAAACAAGTCGTTTCATATCATGTTTGTTCTTACATCCACCAGTCAAATAGATGAAATGGAAAGTCATGAAGTTTCCTGCCTGGTTGCCTGCTGAACTTATGCATACTTTATATTACTTTATGACATGTCAAGGTCATGATTTTGCATGGCACAGTTTCCTGATCAAACTTTCTCAGCCTTTTTTGGGCATTTGCTCGTGGTGAAATCAGGCAAGACCAAAGAGGCAAAGGAACAGTACCAGATTGTCTCTTGGCAAAAAAAAATGAATGTTCTATTTCAAATAATTTTGAGACATTCTGGGGATCTAATTTTAAGAATCGAACCTCTTGATGTTTGTTGGAGATGATTCCCCAATTGGTGGCCAAGAGGAAAGCATGATGTTCATTGATTCTCCTCAGTTTGTTCAATCCAAAGAAGCAGGCCTCCATGAAGATCTCGTGCAGGCAGGTTGTCAACTAACTAGTCTTTAGACGATGAAACTGGTTTTCTCATGGGATTAGGATGGATAGGGCCCCTTTTGCAAAGCATCCTGGTCATGCTCCCTGTATATCCATGATTGAAAGCTTCTTTACGGTCATCTCAACAGCGCAGTAAGAGATGTACAAATTTTGTATCCATTTTTTTTGCCCTGTCCGTTCCTTGTCCACTACTGGTTCTGTGAACCCCCAGCACACAATACCACGCATAGCAATGCATAGCACACATTAGCAGTCATTAGCACATGAGGTCACAATGTTATGCAATGTTATGCAATGTTATGCAATGAGGTCATGGAAGATGTCGTGGCATCTCGCCGGTCCATGGTGAACATCATCCCCGGGGAGGCGCTGCGGTGCAGCGCAGGAGTGAATGATGCAACATGCAACACTTGAAGCAGTTTTTGAACACTATTTGTCTATATGTTTTCTCAATGTTGTCTCATGTTGTTTCCTTTTTCTTTTATACTTTATACGTTTTAAACATGTTTGCACAGATTTTGCTAACATCACGCAGCTGCGTACAGAGGGGCATGCTGATGTACGACATGATAGATGGCAAGACTCGAGTCACAGTCAGAGGGCTCTTGATGCCCGAAGTCTAAACCTACTTCAGTATTTCATCACTTCCTCCAGGCATATCCTGGGAACTTCTCTGGCTTTGTGGTTCTCTTTGCTACGGCTGAGACCGCCGGTAGGACAGGATCCACACTTTCATTGAGAAGCATTGCCCAGAAGCGATTCTGTACCTTTTCACCAATACTAGATATAATTATAATTCATATATATATATAATACTATATATATATATTGACTTGATCTATTGATATATTAATATATTGAAATGCATATTTCCACAATGAAGTCTAACTTACAAGTCCCTGGGTGGCCGGCCCTCCTTTCATGTGCGCATTACAGACATACTGACATACTGTAGTTTTCAATGTTGTTTCTGGCTACGGCATTCGGAGAGTACTTGGTGATTTTACTTCTGTAGTCTTGCAAGCTTGCGGCAAATGACCTGCCCACCGCGCACTCAATACACTATTTGCAATTTCTTGAGACATGTGTGATCGCTTACTGTACATACTAATTGTAACTCGAGAACAGGGTCATTTTGGGGATGACCATGGATGACCTTTTTTCGAAACTGCCGGTGATTCCCCAAGGATTTTGTCACGCGCCTGACTCACCATCTACAGGAACTATTTCAAGGAAGTTTGGCAGTCCATGCGTTTCTTGAGCCTCTGTCCCCGCCGGTTTTACTACACCACCTTTGCCAACGGCGTTACTTGGCAGAGCGTTGGATTTCCTCCAACTCCAAGCCTCAGGATGCAACTGGGAACTGGTGGCATGTCCCTTTCACATCCTTTTCACCTCATTGCAGATTCTCATACTGGTTTTGATGTGTTGTTCTGGCCGGCATGCATAGGAAGATACTGAGATTTGGAGATTGACACCCAAACTTTCAATGGCAATCACATTCGAAGCTTCCTTCAAAAAGAATGGTTTCATGTTTCTCCATGTTGGCATGCTTGGGAGTCTGGACGGAGAATATCGAAGAACCCTGCGTCAAGTCTTTGAGGTCGTCACTTACAGCTTGTTCTTCCCGGCCGGAGTGGAAAAGCAGGTCGGATGAGTTCGAAACCATTTGGGCCATTAGGATTTGAACAACCATTGCAACGCCATTACACACTGGCATCATGTTGGATCAGCTGTTTCTTGAGACATCAGAACTTCTGCTTCCCCGAAGGCTAACTCCACCAGCAATTTGAGAAGAAAATGATTGTACGGTGACCATGGTTCTTCACTTTCAAGATGTTTTGGACTACGTTGCATTTAGCTGAGGACCGGCACTTGATACAAAGGAAATTGCTCCTGAAACAGCTACCATCCCTTTGAAGCTCCAAAGCCATGGCTCCAGCTGATTTTTGCAGGTGGAACGACTGAAACGCTCTTTACTGTACTCCACGCTATTGAAGGCAAGCAGGGTTCTGCAGAGAGGAGGCTGAAGCCATCTAAAGCTCACAAAACTTCAATATACTTCAATCAAAGAAACAGTTTGTAGCTTGCCGACTTGCCGTCAGATGTTTTGCACCCAGACGCACCCAGACAATGGTCATGGATTGACAGAGTGGCTGTTAAAAATGGTTCAGGCAACGCCAAACAACTCTGCACTGATCTATGACAGCGTCATGTGCCTTGGTGTTGGCAGTATCTCTTCTGACAATCACTGTGGAGGGGTCCACGTTCATCCAAAGTGCATATTCCAAGATTTCCAAGTCTGCAATGGGGCAACACGCCTAATCCCTTACCCCAAGTATTAAATGCCATCCATTGCCATCCTTAAAAAGACCTGGATTAAGTTTAGTATTGCATCTATTCATTTGGGGTCCCTCTATTGAATATGAGGGGGATTGGACTACTATTCGGGCAGTGTCCGTGCCAATGATACGGCCTCGTCCAGTTCCATTTGCAGGCCTGCTTGCGGAGAGAACTAAGCAAATAGCTTCATAGAAAACTAAAGACAGATTTGAGCGTGTCTTTGTCCTCCAGCCATGGCCATGTTGCAGTTCAGGACTGTTCAAGATGTTCTTTGGTCACTGTTTTGTGGCGAAGACTGGAGGGATTGTGCAGGACCATGTCACTCTCCTCAGGCAGTCCCACATTTCCCACGAATGTGGTCTGTATCTTTTGGCTGCTGTCGGGTCCCTAGCAGTGCGTTTCAAAGGACGGGGCAAGTTGTGCAGCTTGGTAAAGGTGAATAGTTCAGGCCAGGGGTCCCACAGTGTTTCGATCCCACTGCATGCATCCATTTCTAGTTCCACCGTACTTTTCACATCTTTTCACATGTGGTATGGTATTGCATGGTTAAAACTTGGGATGATTGCGCAAATTGGGGGATGGTCATCAACCCCTTACAGCAATAGGGATTCATACGTTCATTCATAGGGTCATAGGGACTCCCATCATAGGATGGATGACCATAACCCATATACTGGTACCATGTTTTGACCATAGCACATATGTTTGCTTCCTGGTGATTCCATGCATTGCCTTGCTTGTCTTCTGGACCCTTTCTTTAACACCACCAAAAGCATAGACAATATGAATGCAGAATTCTTACTTCTACTGCTGTTTTGCAGCGACCCTAGGCTGTCAGAAGAATTGTTAGAGTCATTGCTTACAAATATGGATAGAAATGGATAGAAGAAATTGGTTATGTTGGGTGTAGAACCAACAAACATCTGGATCAGACATTTCCCCATTTGTTGGGCAAGGTGAAATTTGTGTACGACTTCTTTCCAAAGGAGCAGTACGCACCCGAGTACATCTCGGTGCACAAGGCTCCTGACAATCGCTTGTTCCTAGGTGAAGCTAGAAGCCCCAGATTTCATGCTTTTAACTTTTGAATACTGTTCACTTTTAACCTGTTCGATCTTGTTACAAGGTTCTTGGATTTAATCTAGATTTTGGATGGTTGGAGTTGCTGAGGTGGCTTTGATTTCTCTCTGGCCTTTTCTGGTGTCGCTTGAAGAATGCCTTTGAATTGGATTGAAGGAAAAGAATGCAAGCCTGTTGGTGTACACACTTGAACTTCCTTGATAGTCACAAGATGTCACAAGCAAGGGAGACTGGCCAGAATGACTGCTTGAGTGCACTGTGAGGTGCTGGAACATGATCCAGCAAGCCAGAGAAAGTTAGAGACCTTGTACAAGCTTTGTATCAAGGACTATGGCAGATGCAAATGGAAACCAGAGTTCAAGCCATTCCTGATTCTTGTTGCTGCTTTATCCGTGTGCCTCGGTTAAAGGAACTCTTTGCTCGCAGGACTTGCTTTCCACTGAGCGTATCTATCAGCTTGTCCAGAGGTACTGTGATCTCGCAAGGCAGCTGTGGCGCGAAAGGCTTTTGTAGAGTCTGTAGAGTATACAATTGGAACATGTTAGAACCGTACATGGAGAGAGGTACGAGGAATTAAACTGATTAAACGATGTATTCCCAAGGGTCCGTTCCGGGTCCATTCCTGGTTAATCGTGGTTCTAGACCGACGTGATGAAACACATCCACTCGCAGGAGAAAGTACTAAGTAGGAATCAGGTTTTACCTAGACAAAATGTCAGGCTTTGAAAAAAGGGGTGGCCAGAAAGTGTGCGTCGGCAGCGGCACCAATGCAGGATGTTCTTCGAAGACTTCTCAAAGATTGCATTGGGAGAAGTGGAGCCCAGATTCAACGCAGAGATCAGCAAGGCGACTCAACTGCAGTATTTGGAGACTCGAATAAACAGCAGCTGGATGGCTACAGAAGCCGCTGAATTCGGAGTCTTGTAGACAGCTCTCATTTGAGTCGTGTCATTGTTTGTGTGAGTAGCTGGTGATTGATAGGCGGCTGGGGTGGTGGCGGAAGTAGCACTTAGAACTTCTGGTTGTAGTATGTCATAGCAATGTCATAGTAGTGGCAGTAAGAGAGCAGTAGAAGAACTGAGCAGTAGAAGAAGCTGTGGCAGCACTTTGCAGTACCGGTAGCAGATATACTTGTTTGTTTTCCCCTTCTGGTCTTTCTTCTGGCCTTCAATGCTGTCATCATCATTAGTAAAGGCGATCGACCGATCTTGTGCTGACCCTCAAGATCGTCAGATTCTGAAGATGCCACCTGCCTCAGACAGACTGCTGTCTTTACATTGATGCGTTTGGTTGTTGCTGAAAGTTTGCATTTGTTCAATCAAGCTGAAGATTGCTCCCCAAGAATGCTCTCAGGTTTCTGACTTTCAACCATAGCATTTTGCTGACAAACTTCTTCAAGGAGCTGAGATGAGCTGAGTGACAGTATGATGGCCTCAGAATGTCGACTGTGACTCTTGCTTTTAGATGCTTTTAAGATCTTTTAAGCACATCTGAGATTGATTCAACTTTAAAAGCGACAGTTGATGCCACAGTCCTCAATTGAGCCGCAGCTGTGCATCAATTGTTCGTGATTCGCTAGTTTCAGGCCGTTTCTGGTCTAGTCCTGACCCTGTTTCAGGAGCCAACTCCGGGTGCTTTGTCCTTCCGTTTGAATCCGGCCATCGCTTTGAAAGACAGACCCACGTCGCTGTACCCAGACACTTGGCATCAAAGAAAACAGCAAATTGAATGGATTCAAAGATTTGAAAGGTTATGAATGTTATGAAAGGTTCAATCATGGCTATACTATGCTTGACTGTTTTATGTAAATTAGGCTGCAGATACCAAACATGGCAGCAAATATGTCGTTGTAACGAGAAGATTCAATCTCTACATTGGCTTATCCTCCGTTTCTTCGATTTTCTTCATGTACATATGTACTGCCTTTGTATGCTTTCTGGTTACTCCCTCGAAGGATTGGTTATGACCCCACTTGTGATTTCTACTGTATAATCAAGTTCATGTTCCCACATGTTTGCTGTAGATGCCGTTCTTTTCACAAAGGAGATCCCACATGGTCGAGATCTCAGTGGATGAGAGTTGGAGGTGTTGCTCATTTCACCCACCGTCCACAAAGTACAAGTAGGAGAATCTTGCAACGAAACACAACCGAGTGATGACTTTCCGACGAGTACTTGTAGATTTGGGCTGCAAAGCCAGAACTCAAGGCATTTATCTGATCTGCGGCCGGGATTTCATGGGCTTCCACACCCGATTCCGAGATGTTTCACGTGGCGGCATCAGGCAGGGGACATGGAGAGTTGCTTTCGCAGGTTTTACGCAATCAAGGCTTGTGTGGTTTTCGCTCGGCCCTCTGCAACGGTAGAACAGCTGGGCCATGGTGGGCTGAAGGTGTGCAGGAACATAAATTATAATGATGTGCTTATATGTGCTTGCTTGTTCCAAGATGTTCCAAGATGTTCTAAGTATGTACTGGTGCCACTGCATCGCGTATGTTGACTGTCGGACAAAGTTGAAGTCTTTAGTCTAGCAGAGTCTAGCAGTCTAGCATTCGAATGCAAGCCCTACTGTGAGGCTGGTCCTCTCCCGTGACAAGACCACCTACGAGCGAAACTTTGCCACGCTCTTTGAAGACGCATGGTGTGCAAGGTATGCGCTTCTATGATCAGAGCCGTTTCGTTTTCTCATGTTTTTTTCTCTTTTACCAGAAAAAATGCCGTTTCTAGGATCTCCAAGCGACATCGGTTCAGAGAGAGAGAGAGAGTCAAATTTGATCAAATTCGCAGATTGCTTGATTACGTACATGGAAGATCATTGAAGATCTGTTCAAACTTCAGGATGCTTTCAGACTGGCTGGTGCCATTTGAACGAGGAATCAGCCTATCTGAGGAATGCTATAATTTAGCGTTTACACAGCAGTACAAGAACAAGGACAGAAGCCTCCACCGCTCAAAAGGTGTGGTCATCAAGATATCTGTAACCCTCATCTTTGGCCAGGTGTTTGCTGTCATTCAGACTTATTGACAACATCGCAGTTTCCTGATCAGATATCGGTTCGAGGCAGACTGCGAACCAAACGCAAAAAGTACTTGCCACCTGCCAACCCCTAATGCTTAGTTTAGTCAGCCTTCAAGCCGCAGCACACTACCGCAGAACAAGATATGAGATTGGGAAAATGGGAGCAGGTTTCATTCTGGAACAATGTTACCAAAACAACATGTGTGGAGTAGATGAAGCAGTGATGGTAATTGAATGCAGCGTGTCACTGCTCTGTCCGATTCTTCTGCAGGACATTCCAGAAGGCACTGCGCACTGCTGAAATAGATTCAATACAAGATCATTTTGAAGCTAGGGAGTTGGATTTGCAAGCTTGTTGTTTTCATGACTACATGGTCAAAGACTCCTAAAACAAATCTAAGCAGGTAGATCTCTGAATGTTGATTCATGTAGTTACAGAATTCGCAAGCTATTCACTAGCGCATTGCCCGCATATTGCTGTTGTACCCGGTTTTCTTACCCGGAGGACTGTGCAAGTCATCAGTAGCACCCCCCCATATAGCATCACGTAACCATACACAAGCCGTCAAACCCTTCTTGCTTTGACCAGAACGTGGTGCCACGCAGTCATACAGATCTGCACAGATCAAAGAGACCGCAACGTTCTTGCGTTGTGAGGTGGATCGAAAGGTGTGATCCTTCCAGACCGATCTTGGCCCAACAGCAATGGCGGCAATGTCGCTCAGCAAGACAAGTTGGCTCAACAGCCTCTGATCGGTGGTGAACTGTGTTTCTACAATTGTTTCTTGCTGTGTTTTGTAGATGCAGTTTTACTGATTCCATTATGAGTTGTAGACCGGAAAAGTGTTGTCGTTCTGGTAAGTTAAAAGGCAAGACTACTTCTTTCGTTCAAAGATCTCAAAGATTGTGATGCTACTTGTATGTGAATCCCGCAGTTCTGATTTCTTCGGACAACACGGACAACACGGACAACACGGACAACACGGACAACACGGACAACTGCATACAACTGTTGTGTTGCAGCTCGCTGGAACCCGCCGCAACCCGATGCCTACAGCGTCTTTCGCTCAGGTGGTAGCTGGCGCTTCGATCCAGGGCCCTTTGGGGATGAGGCTCTGCTGGGGCTCGGAAGCGATACCAGGATCCCAAACCCGCATCGGATGGCCACATAGCTCCGGGATGTTCCAGGGTCAATATTTGGCCGAATCTTATGTATGACATCACAGTGAATTTCATAGGTTGAAGATGAGTTGCAATGCCATGTTTGGTATGTTTGGTGGATCCATTCCAAACCTCGCTCCATTTGCAGAGGTCTTGCTTCACGCGCTACTTGGGTGCCTTGCTGGATTGCATGATGCCAGAGCAGAGTGGCATCTATGCCGGTCCACATCTTAGTTTTTCAGAGAGATAAATGAAAGCAGAGAAATAACAGTAGCTAAATAGTTCTGATGGAAAGGGTTAATTCATGCCGTGCTGATGCTTGGAGTGTAACATAGAGTCAGGATATGTTGAAGTATGTTAAGACCATTTAAGTCATGAATGTAGTCGCGTGTTTTTAACGGGTCATGGGCAGCGAACAGAGCACCAAAAAGAGCCAAGCTTCATTGTGGCCTTGCTTGGACTTTCTGATGGTTCAGGAAAATCTATGAAAATCTTACATGATCTTACATTCCCGATCGCGTATCCGTTGACATGACTCCAGACTACAGAGAGGCTTTGCCCTCCAATTCCCTGCCCTGTTTCCCTGTACGTGGCCCATGGTGACATAGCTTGCAGGACATTTGAAGGGTCGACCAGAGATCTTGTTCTTTGGTCCTGACGAGAATACTGCAGGCTATCAAATACCGTTGACATGGGGACGGGTCTTGATGGGTGGCTGACCGACTGAATGGGGTTGTGTAGTTGCCTAGCGGTTGCACTAATTGCACTATGTGTTGCAAGTGCTCACGCACTGGCGCCGTACCAAGGAGAACACGTTTTAAGCATTTGGTTGCCACAAGATGAGGGGAAAGAATGGATGTAAAAGGATGATTCTGCTCTGTATATGCTCGTCGTTCTGTTGTTATGTTGCTCCATTGGTGCTCAATGTTCTTCATTCCTTTAAATTGTGTGCAGGCTTCTGGGGAAAAATTATGCTAACATTCACTTGTTGATGTTGGTTCAACTGTTGTGAACTATAATATTCATACGTCAAAGTCAACAAACACGCCAACCCCCTAAACAAACAAATATTGCCCTCATTCAAACTAATCTTCACCAATGAACTTTAGCATCGCGTTACCCCCGGAAACCTGATAGAACCGATAAAGAATTCATCAAAACCAAAGAGCGGGCATTGAACATCAACATAGGGCAACAGAAGATCATTCCGATCGTACCAACCAATGTGCAAAGATCTACTCCCCCAGGACCGTCACCGTCCCTTCTGACCAGTTTATACGGCGTACGGGATCCTAATTTCTATATGACCATTTGTCAAAAATAGTTGTTTAGAAGTTTAGTATTGGCTGTTGATAATTCATCTGGGTCTACTGTTTTTTCCTCTTCGTTATGAGGCGGCACGCAACTAAATTCAGCAATTCTGCAAGGCAGCGCTAGCAAAGCCGCTAGGTTTGCGCTAGGTTTGATTGACAGCCATGGCCTCCATGTCGTGAATGTCTTGCCAGCTTTTCTTACAAGTCTGTCAGTTTCCACATATTCCCAAATTCTCGATTTTTTTTACGTATTTTACGCGCTAGATCGCCGCTAGCAACGCGCTAGCGAAAATTGCAAATACATGCCCCGGTCCACCCGCAGCCCATTCAGAGGCACAGCCATGTTCACGCTTTGGTAGCTTACAGTAAGGAAACAGCGTTGATCAGGAGGCATGTCAAGAAGCATATCGCATTCAGAGAGGCGCACACACACAGAGACACACAGTTCAGGAGATAGTACCAGCGACAGCAAATGAAAACCGACGTGCGTTAGCCGATTCCTGTGGTTTTAGAAAGATTTCCAAAGGTAACAAAGAATTTCCACGTTTTCACGTCATCAAGGTAGGTCATGTTTTTTAAAGGCAAACATGAGGCGGCACGCATGGAATTGCGATTTATCAACAAAACCGGGAACAGACATTTTGACAAACCGTCATATATAATCATATATATATATACACATGGTCAGCGCTTCGACTTCAAGAAGAGCAAACCCGGATACTGTAGCAACCCTGCCGGAGGATATCAGAATCCATAAGTGAATGCGTCATCAAAATTTAAGAACATGAGGCAAGGACCCATGCCCTTTCATTTGGGGTGTAGCATTATCTATGATGCATTACAGCTTACTATTGTTAATATAATTATGTTATATTATGTTAGTATTGTTATGATTATCCTTGTCTTGATTGAACTTGCCATCATTGCGATTATGTGACCGAGATCCCTTGAGACAAGTTGCTTCTGGATCCCCAGATTATTTGCCAATTGGCAAGAGAAGAGTAGGAGGTCCAAGGCAGCAACGGGGACATTTCACCAACAAAACCAACATGAACCAACCCACCGCACCAAATGACTCTCGCACACCAGTTTGAAAGCTGTGGTAACTTGGGCCCACAGAAAACGAGGCATTTTATACGAAACCTTCCCAAAGTTCCTGTGTAGCAGAAACCTGTGCAAAACCCTGAAGTGGCGGGACTCCACTGCAGTGGCAGGCTTCATGGATCTTGGCGCAGAGCATGCAAGGGAGTCTTGACTGCAACAATATGTCAAAGCTGAGCAGACCGAAGGGTTGTTGATGTCAATGTGGGTTTGTTCCAAGAATTTCACAACTTAAACAGAAAAGCAAGAATACGGAAAATACGGAAATAAAGAATGCACCTTAGATAGATGCAAAAATAATCAAAAATAGCAGATGCAGAAAAGATAGAAATGGCCAATGCAAGTAATGGAAACCAACATGCAGCGTGCAAAACCACTTTCTAGGCCTTTCAATTTGTTTCCATTGATACTAGGTGGCTTTTGTAAATATTGTTTCTTTTCTTGCCGCCTGGTTGATGCTGCCTAGGTTAGCTTTCTATTTGTTTTGAGTATGTGAACTCAATTGCTTTACGTTCTCCTTTTGCACATGCACTAATTGCATTTAATTGCATCACGTTGTGTATGTTTTTCAAGACCATTGTTTCTGAAGTAGACCCACAAGGGGCCAACACAAGAGTTTGTTGTTGTGCATGTTTTCTAACCGAACCTATTCAAAAGGGCGCAGAAGCCAGCCTCAGGCAGAACTATTTTGCAGAAGTAGAATAGTGAAGGGAACCATGCCGGTGGCAGCCCTCCGCACTGCAATGCCCCTGGCTGTGAGGTGAGAGGATATCCTTATTGGAAGTCTCTGACTACTGGAAAGAGTGTGGCTTTAGGAGGAGTCCCTCATGATACCTATGGCATGACCACCCAAAGCGAAACTTGGCCCAATGAAGCAATGGCATGGAGATTATAAGTTTCTGAATTGCGCTATGGATGGCTATGGTATGCTATGAGTGTTCCCATTCAGGATCATGACCGTGGCATTCACAGGCCCAGTGTCCTTATGATTTTTACCGGCACAACAATTTGGGTATATATAGCCGGTATAGGGGTCTATGCTGTCTATGCTGGCTGCTCATTCAATCTCATTCATACCGTCAGTATAAATCTCATGTAGATTTCGTTGCTTAGGTACATACCTATGTCACAGAGCTTCTCAAAGAATTGGGCGAGGAGGAGGATAAGATCACAAAGTTTCAGACTGGCGGTCCAGACGGAGATCTGGGAAGCAATGAAATCCTGATCTCCAAAGACTTGATTCTCGGCTGCAGTGCTGCGTTAGAGGGGACTTGGTGATAGGAGTGGAGATCCTAACAGTTTGTCTTTAAAGCAGGTTGGTACGTCATTTCCCCTCTGGTCAATTCGCTCCCAGATGATTTCTGTTGGGAGTCTGGAGAATGTCTCGCGCGCAGGAAATTCACTGCAGCAAATACTTGCCTGTTTTGACTGATCCTCCCAGTTGCTTTTTGCTGCCATTTGCACTGCAATTGTATGAAATTTATTAAATTACTACCTTTCTGGGTCGTACCCGGTCAAGTACCCCTGCGATCCCTGCGATCAAAGGACCATCGGCATCGTCGACGGCTCTGGCGTCCTGTATGACCCCAGCGGACTGTCGCGTGCGGAGCTGACCCGCTTAGCACAGCGGCGTGACTTGGCGGAGCACAACATCGACACAACATGCACCGGCGGAAGAACGTCAAGGGACGCAATGGATGGTATGGCACCGCATAGTGCATCCGTGTGGATCATATTAGTTATTTATCTATATATATATAATATATTATAATATATAATTATATTTATAGTAGATGTGATACGATATGATTGCGATATTTGAATCGTAGATCATCCTGCGACAAGGCATGGAATCATTGCACATCATAAAACAACTAGTCTGTCACAGGTTAAAACTAACATGTGCTCATCCAGGTGTGCCGGTGAGGGAGTTCAATCGCTGCTTCTTGGGCAAAGGTGGCTTCCTTGTGATACTTGTCATATGTTGTGCGATGCTTCCAGCTCACCCAGAATAGCAGCTAAAGATAGCTAAAGCCTCATCAACAACACGCAAGACGATTTTTGACGGACCTATGTGGAGTGCGGGTGTCAATCGTGTCAATTGGTTGGCCCTGTTTGTGTTCTGAAATCACTACACTCTTGGCAGTTGACCTTTGTGGTCCACTTCCAAGATTTCCAAGGACTGTGGAAGAGACCAACATCACTCTGCCCGACGGCTCAACATGGCTCTCGGGCGCCGAGCTTCGAGATAACTTTCATTTGACAGAGTATGCCAGTGCAGATTTGTCCCTCGCACTTCAGCGCATGGAAGGCCAAACATGTCCAAACTTGCCCCAGTGCCGACAAATTCTAGTAAGATTAGTAAGGGGCAAAAGGATGTCATAATGGAAGGTTTTGCTGGAGATGCGCAGTTATTAGCTCTTGGATGCCACAGATCAAGCAAGGTTCAGTGTTGAGCCGATCTTGAGGTTGGACGTAAAGGGCAAGCACATGCAGGCAAACACCAAATGTAGCGATTCCTGTACTCAGCCATACCATCTTTCAATACCATTAACATCCTTTCAGAACATTTGACCATAAGTCACTGCAGAATCTATGGAACTCCCGCCTGACTTTTAGGTTTGTCCCCTGCGGCGGAAGACCCAACTCAGTCCGCATCTCAGAAATACCTTGCAGTGCGGGCAAAAGTTTGCTCAAATGTAAATCAGGTTAGAGTTCCAGATATGCAGGCTTTGACGTTCAGTTCGTATCCAAACAGCTGTCCATGTTCACGTATATTATATATATACCATAATGTTCGTATTGGGTCAGGAGGCTGGTAGAATCAGCCAGATGAATCCAGATGAGTTGTTTATGGTTGTTCATTTGGATCTTACTTTTTGTATCTGTTTGTATCAAATCGGCAAGGACCTAAATGAATACTCAAAGTGTTTTTGTGTGGTGCCTTTTCCTGGAATTTAGATTTGATGCAGATACAGAACTTTGAAGCACAGGGAATTGTCAGATGTCTATTTAGATTCAAACGCAGGGGATTAAAGCCCTTCTGCTTTCACTCGCGACCATTCCTGAACATTCTGTCACCATCTGTCACCTAGTGCTTGTTCTGATCATTTCTTTGCGGTCCAGGGCACCCTCGCAGGTTACTACAGACAACGTGAAGCGCCTCTTCACGTCAGATGGAAAGTAGCTTGGATGCAGTTGAACCTCAAGCATGAGACATTTCTTTCTGCTAGGTGCACCGTATGTGTATACGTCGTATGTAAATGTATATGATATTATATAATGTATATAGAATTATCTAGAGACATTAAAGTACATTTAAACACAGTATATAATCATATTGGAGGATTGTAACAAGCAATATTCTGCTGTGCGGGGCGACGCAGAGTTCCCTCAGTCTTTGGATTCTCTTGACGTTGTAAGATTGCGCACTGGTAGGGTATGTGGTGAAAAAATATGAAATATGGCATGAATTTCACCGCTTGCAGATGTAAAGGCAACAAGAACTCATGCAATCTATATACTTGATTTGCAATACAACTGGACCAAATAAGCCTCGGGTAAAATTATATTATCATAATATGGCTGAAGTTTATGTTTGTTTTGTGCTTTGATTTGTTTGTCCTAAACTGGTTTGTATTCACACTTTCTTTTTGTAGGTATCATGCTATATGTGTCAACTGAGGAAAGTCGTTACGAATGCGCACAAATTCATCCATGCATGCATGCATTCATTCATGCATTCATTAATTCACAATCACACCATGATTACAAGGTAAATAAATGTAAATATATAATACTTACAGATGATGACCATGCTTTCAGGGAAAATACACCTTGACCCGGATAACGCATGATAAAGTGATGGAATCGGTTTGACGGTTCCACTAGGCATTAGGAAAACACTTGAAGAACAACCACCTCACTCACCTCACCCCCAAGTTTCAATTTCATTGTGACACTTTGTGACTTGAGGTGCATGCCCCCAAATGATCCCCAATGGACGAAAGAAATCCAACCCCCAACATCACAGGCGCGCTGAAACATATGGGGGCGGGAGGGGTTCAGCATAGATTGTGTGGCAGCGTTTGGATATTGTGTCCATCTACTGTCTGGAACTCTGAGGCCGAAGTTCCGAATGGTCGTGGAGGGTGCCAACCTTTTCTTTTCCGACACAGCGAGAGGCGCCTTCCAAGTTCAGGTGTGATAGATAGCGAAGATTGTTTGGGTACAGTACATATGTATTTATGTATGTATGTCAGTATGTATTTATGTATGTATGTATGTATGTATGTATGTAATGTATGTAATGTATGTAATGTATGTAATGTATGTAATGTATGTAATGTATGTAATGTATGTAATTTATGTAATGTATGTAATGTATGTAATGTATGTAATGTATGTAATGTATGTAATGTATGTAATGTATGTAATGTATGTAATGTATGTAAAGTATGTAATGTATGTAATGTATGTAATGTATGTAATGTATGTAATGTATGTAATGTATGTAATGTATGTAATGTATGTAGTGTATGTAGTGTATGTAGTGTATGTAGTGTATGTAGTGTATGTAGTGTATGTAGTGTATGTAGTGTATGTAGTGTATGTAGTGTATGTATGTATGTATGTATGTATGTATGTATGTATGTATGTATGTATGTATGTATGTATGTATGTATGTATGTATGTATGTATGTATGTATGTATGTATGTATGTATGTATGTATGTATGTATGTATGTATGTATGTATGTATGTAGTGTATGTATGTAATGTAATGTAATGTTATGTTATGTTATGTATGTATGTAATGTAATGTATGTAATGTATGTAATGTTATGTTATGTATGTATGTATGTATGTATGTATGTGTATATATATATAGAATTTAGAATTATATAATATGCACTATTATATACACAACATTAACATGGTGCCTATTTGTTGCTGCCCACTTATCATTGTCCGATAAAGGTGATGGCAAGTTCAGTTTGGTTCTTGTTTCAGGAGATTTTGCCGCTGCCTCATGCTCATGACAGGTATTTTAGAGGCGGCAGGCGTTCATATCTTCAAGGATGCATCCACCAATAAGGCCGGGCAACTGCTGCCCTGGGGGCCCTGCCAAAATGGGAACACATTCAGGGTGATAACACATGGGAATTCATGTCAGATTGGCAGATAGAGCTCAGGGATCAAAACCTCTTCAGCCACCATGCCGTTTAAGACTGCATTAAGACTCAGCCAGCTGAGGAAAATGTACCGGTTTGCATTGATGTCTCGCGATTTTTCATTGATCAGTGATCTTGAGAGTGCTTCACTAGTTGTCATTTTGACATGGAGCAACACGACGATCACTTCCCGTTCTCCTGACATTTCATTCTGGTTCTTCTTTTGACAGAAAGTACTGTGCGCGTTCATCCTTTTCTTATATTTTCCCCCCAAGGGCAACAATCCTTTCTCCAAACATTCTTCTAAGACAGGCCAGTGTCAAGCACTTTGCCAGGGTGGCGTGAATTCAAGCTCCCTAGAAGTCTTAGCCGCGCTGGCATTGACGGAGGAGGAGTGGGGCGACTTTGAACCCCGCTCCGAGTCACATGTACATTTTATCGCTGGGAAAGTCTCAGCAACTGATTCAATCAGCAGATTTATGGTGCCTAGATATTTGTAGATTATTGGAGAGTGGTTTCCTCATACTTCTGTAGAGGAGTTGTATTTTGAATTGTAAATAGGCAAACGTTTGAGGTTTTTGTTTGCAGATAATCCGTGTCAGAAAGAAGAAGATAATCAGTCTGCATACCAACACGCTCAAGAATTGCAGACAATCTGAAGCCGAGATTATACATTGGGCAGATGTAGTTGGGACTTGCTTCCTATTGCAAGCAAACACCAAAATCGTAGGACCAAAACATTGCAAGAGTTGTACAGCTACCTGTCTACCTGTCCAAAGAACTCCATTTGGTTTGAATGCAGATTCATAGTACGCAGGAGATAAACTTTTGGTCGTGGTACTTCCACGTGCAGTCATGGCACTTGTTTACATATTGACCTGGTTCCAGGTCATGGTCATTCTTGGAACTTGGCATAGATTGTGGATGTAGAAGACGTATAAGACAGCTGCAAAATACAGCCGACCTGGTGCAATGTCAAGTCCTGGTATATGAGAAGTTCCCTGCTCTTTGCAGTTGGACGTTGCAGATGTTGAAATCGTGTCTACCATGTCCAGGACCATTCCTCCATGATGTGCTTTGATCCAGCTTGCGGTGGTGTGCCACCAACGTTCTACGAAACGTATGTGAGGCAGATACAGGAGCAGGGTGTTCAAAAAGGGTAAAGAAGCAGCTAGTCACCAGTCATACTGATTTCAGTTGTTGTGCGAGGCAAGTGACTGATTCGTGGGAGTCTCTGTGAAACAACAACCTTCCAGTCATCGTTGACGAAAATGAATTCAACTTTCTTCCGCTGTTTGTTTATACATGAGTCAGGATGGTGGTGCTTTGGTACCAGTTCAGTGACACCATCATAATCATGCTCATGATCGTCATCATCGCCATCGTGGTAATCGGACATGACTCATGACTAAGTGTAGGATGCGTGTTGCCCTGCCGTGCTAGGACACCATTGTCGAAAATGCTCGCAATGAGTTCCGAGCAATTTGGAGTCCTGGAGCATTCACATCAAAATTGCACACAGCATGGTGAAGTTCCAAAAAATGGCGACAAGCTTCAAGACACACATACTATTGACGTGCGAAAGCAAAAACTTGATTACCCATGTTGGATGAGCTGCAATCATGCTTGACCACCAAGGACTTGCAACCAGCGTGGCATCTCAAAAGTGCAGGCAACGAAGCTGATCTCCAGCAACACGGCCAGCAAATCAGAGTTGGACTTTCATGGCATTTCGGTCTGGAAACGGCCATGTGGCTGTGGCAGACACCAACCTCACTTAAACTTGGTTGGACTGGGGTTGCGCAGTGTTCCGGCCTCAAAAAGCTCATGTCTGGTTTCGCCTGCAATCACACCAAATCGGTCCTTGCTGATTTGCCAAGGTAAGATTAATGGCTTGCAGGACATAGGGTGGCTATATGACATCCCTGTAGTAGTGTGCTGTAGTCGTTGTGCCACAACAACTGCTCCTACTTGTAAAGACCAGCACTCGGCCTTGGCAGGATGTACTGGCTTCATTGATGTTCAACTTGCTTTATCCTATATAAAAGATATAAATTGTCTAATCATTACCGACCGCAGATGAGAGGTTCGAAGAAGGACGTTGCTTCCACTTGGAGATGCCTTTTTTTACATTTGCTGTGGGGGAGGTCTTATGATTCTTATGTTTGGCAGGATGCGATCATGGAGCAATTCATCAGCATGTGCAGCTCAGAGCGGGAGAGGTGCGATGATGTGCCCGTGGAAATCGGTCGAGATCCTATTGGGAGTAATGCGCACATACAGATAACATACATCGATTAAGGAACGTCGTGGGATTGCTTTGCAGCATTTTGCAGCCTTAAGCTGTTTCGTTCAAAGATCAGTCTACCTTCAGTATCCTCGACTTGTAGTTCAACTGTGGAAGAGGAAAAACAATTCTTGTGATTTACCTAACCCCCAACCAGGTGTCCTTTCAAGATTTTCAAGGTCCCAGACTTTCAGGGTCCCAGATACTCGCCGAGTGACCTGTAGTTAGTTGGAAAGGGTGCCAATTTATGGTAATTTAATATGATTGATTCATGCCAATTTTGTCTTTCGAGGGGGGCCAAAAGAGAACTGTTGCCAAGACTTTCTGCAATAGGGCAAGTTCCTCAAGACAAGCAAAGAGGGAACAGAACCTAAGTCGTTTCGTCCGGTATCTTCCGATGAGTGCTCTGCGATATGTATGTCTATGTGCATTAGACGCATTATATGCAAAGTTTCTGGGCCTTCTTCTGACAAGAGCCGTAGGCTTGTCAGACAAGTACTTGAGCTTGCAGTTCCTCCTGTGACTGGGCAGAAAAGACATTTGGAGATTGTCTACTTTCAGATTTTCAGATGCCCTGCATTCTGGTGGACATCGTGTTTGACATTGGAATTGAATTAGACCCCTGAGGTTTCAGAAGTGGTTTTGTCAGGTTTTATCTATGAAGCCATTGGCCATTGAGGGACGTCAACCTCTGCCACAACTTGTGGCCCAGGTGATGCTTCAGCATCTCACTGTGGAGCTCATTTTACAGCGCATACCCAGCAATTACATGGCTGCTGTGGTAGGCCGGAAGCAAAACCGGCGTGTGGGTGACAAAATCCCTAGGATGTCACACGATGTCATACGATGTCACTGAGGCCCTACAGCAATGATTTACAAGTGACAGCAGATGATGCCTAACTTGGCATAACTTGGCACAAGCAAAGTGAGCATAACGCATATATGATATCATATATGACTATAGAATATTACAGAATAGTCGTTGGAAGTTTAGAAGTGGAACTTCCGACAATATGGACAGATGGAAAAGAAGAAGTGGGAAGAGTCAGAGAAGGGAAGAGAAGAGAAGAGCAGAAGAGAGAAGATCAGAGAAGAGAAAGAGTCATAAGAAAGAAGATGCAGGCGCGCGAAAAGGTAGAAAAGTCGCGATTCACTGTGTTTTTCCAATGGTTTGTGGCTCCGGAGGGTCAAAGTAGGCTCGCTAAAGCAGCGGGTGGAGCCATCTGGCCAGATGAGAGATGAAAAATTGCACGCCCTTGTGGCGCGAAGCACATTTCGAAGTCAAAATGCACAAAACACACCAACATCGGACCGTTTTTGGAAGTTGTGATGTCGAAAAAGTGCACGCGGCTGTGGCGCGAAGCACATTTCGAAGTCAAAATGCACAAAACACACCAACATCGGACCGTTTTTGGAAGTTGTGATGTCGAAAAAGTGCACGCCGCTGTGGCGCGAAGCACATTTCGAAGTCAAAATGCACAAAACACACCAACATCGGACCGTTTTTGGAAGTTGTGATGTCGAAAAAGTGCACGCCGCTGTGGCGCGAAGCACATTTCGAAGTCAAAATGCACAAAACACACCAACATCGGACCGTTTTTGGAAGTTGTGATGTCGAAAAAGTGCACGCCGCTCTGGCGCGAAGCACATTCCCAAGTCAAAATGCACAAAGCACCTCAGCTTCGGAGCACTTTCAGAAGTTGAGATGTCGAAAAAGTGCACGCCGTTGTGGCGCGAAGCACGTTCCCAAGTCAAAATGTACAAAACACCCCAGCTCCGGACACCTTTTGGAAGTTGAGATGTCGAAAAAGCGCACGCCGTTGTGGCACGAAGCACATTTCGAAGTCAAGAGTGTAAAAAACTGACAGGTTCGGAGCACTTTTGGACGTTCAGAGGTCGTTTTGCGTGGCAAGCGCAAGGTTTGTGCACCTTGTCAAAAGTGAGAAAAACGTCAGGGTTTTGTAGCAGTTTCAACTACAACCACCACTACACTACATTACACTCCACTCCACTCCACTCAATTACCCTACAACTGCAACTACATCTACAACTACACCTACAACTACACTACATTACATTACACTACATTACATTGCGCTACACTACATTACGCTCCACTAATTACATCACACTCCACTACACTACACAACGCCACACCACACTACACTACACTGCACTAATTACAACTACAGCTACAACTACAGCTACAATTACAACTACGCTACTTCACACTACACTAGACTACACTACACTACCGTACTTTACACTACACTCATTACACCACCACAACTGCAACTGCAACTACACTACACTAATTACATTTCACCACAACTACAACCCCACTACACCACAACTACAACTACAGCTGCACTACACCACACTACATCCAGCAGTTGTGGGTAGGGTGGCTGACCAGGTGACCACTGCAACCACTGTAACCACTCCAAAAGACACAACTCCAACCACCTTTCGGTCAATCAACCGGTTCGCTCTGCCATCTGTGATTCACAACAGCGAACCTCTCCTATAGGTTTCCCTATTTTTGAAACTTCCGCCGCCGCCTTGCGCGGCACAGAATAGTATAGATGCATAGATATATATATATATATTTAGATATATATATATATATAGGTATGAATTCGTTTTCGTAGAAATCACACGACTTGACCTGCAAGCTCCTGGGATCCTTTTTCGGTATGGTTTTTGGTTGTCTTACTGATTTGCGATTCATCAATACACTTCAGCTCACGGATCCCAAAGCACATGCCTTTAATCCCAGGCGCATGGGTGGCATCTCGCTTTGTGTCCATGACTCAGCCTGTCCAGATGTTTCTTGCAAGTGTTCCAACGTTAAACAGCAAAGTAGCATAGTGACATAGTGACAGTATGTGACAGTATCATAAGCATCAGACCACCGTGATTCGACCAGATGTGCTGCTCGTGTGCGTATGTTGATTTGAACCGTGAGACAGTGACCTAATTGGACTTCCATTGCGAAATGTGTTCGATGCCGTTCGATGCATGGTCTGAGGTACAGTCAGGGAGTGGATGCTGCCGAAGTCTCCTTTTTTTTCTTTTTGCGCAACTTGCTGAGCAAGGCGCCAGCGCAAAGTATAGCAAAGTAGTAAGGGAAAGATCCCGGTTCCAATGTGGTTCGAGGGACCTTTTGGCAGAAGGGGCTGCTTTTGGTGTGGCATGGAGCCTCACAAGTTTTGCCACGGGATCGAAGATGTGTTTTAAAACTCTTGGGCTGTCAGGGACTGGAGAATTTCAGTATACTTTTGCCATCTTTTGCCTTTTGATGCACAGAAGTTGATGAATCTTGCATTGGGGGGCTCTCCCAGATTGCAGAATGAAGAGATGATCAACGAAGACACCATATGATCCATATGATACCAGATAAACAAAAAAAAAGGATGATTTATGATTCTTCAGCATGTTTCTGAAATCTCCAAAATTACCCTTTCAGCATTGCAGTCGCTCCTGACATTTCGAGTTGGCGAGCTGAATGCACTGACCGATCGTCGTGAAGTAGACAGTTTTGATCAGGGTCATCCAAAAGCTCCATTTGATATCATTCAGAAAATCACTTTTAACTGTTGGAATTTAGCTCAATTTTCCTGTAGCAGCCTAAACTATTGTCTTGTATAGTGACCCAATGAAACGCACTTTTTTCAACACATTTAAATATTGAAGTCAATTACGCGCTCCAGTAATGACGCGCTCCGGAGCGCGTAACAATGACGCGCTCCGGAGCGCGTAATCCATTCAAATAAAGTTCAAAGCCATTTAGTACCAGCCTAAGCTATTGTCTCGTATGCTGATCCCATGTATTTAAATGAAACGCACTTTTTTCAACACATGTAGCTACTGAAGTCAATTACGAGCTCCGGAGCGCGTAATAATGACGCGCTCCGGAGCGCGTAATCCATTCAAATCAAGATCAAAGCCATTTAGTAGCAGCCTAAACTATATTGTCTCGTATGGTGATCCCATGTAATTAAATGAAACGCACTTTCTTCAACAAATGTAAATAATACTGAAGTCAATTACGCGCTCCGGAGCGCGTCATTATTACGCGCTCCGGAGCGCGTAACCCATTCAAATCAAGATCAAAGCCATTTAGTAGCAGCCTAAACTATATTGTCTCGTATGGTGATCCCATGTAATTAAATGAAACGTACTTTCTTCAACACATGTAAATACTGAAGTCAATTACGCGCTCCGGAGCGCGTAATAATGACGCGCTCCGGAGCGCGTAACAATGACGCGCTCCGGAGCGCGTAATCCATTCAAATAAAGTTCAAAGACATTTAGTACCAGCCTAAGCTATTGTCTCGTATGCTGATCCCATGTAATTAAATGAAACGCACTTTTTTCAACACATGTAACTACTGAAGTCAATTACGCGCTCCGGAGCGCGTAATTTGTTCAAAGCCATTTAAATTTAGTACCAGTCTATAGTATTGTTTCGTATATTGACCCAATGTAAGAAAAATGTACTTTATTCAATACATGTAAATACTGAAGTCAATTACACGCTCCGGAGCGCGTAATCATTACGCGCTCCGGAGCGCGTAATTTGTTCAAATAAAGTTCAATGCCGTTTATTACAAGCCTAATTGTCTCGCATGTTGATCCCATGTAACTAAATGAAACGTACTTTGTTCAACACATTCAAATACTGAAGGTGTAATTTACTTTAAATGGCATTCAAAACCATTTAACATCAGGCTACGGACTCCATATACCAACATCTTTGTTGGGGCCCTTGGGCTCAGATATGTTCAGATTCATTCCGCAGCTTGATGCTACCATTACTGTGGGCATGTACATGCTCACTTTTATGAAAGCAGTACTCTACTTGTCTAAGTATGTTTTTTCAAATTGTTTATCATTTTTTGTTGGTGGGAAATGGAGACACTATAATGTCACGATTAAGTGTGGTTACATGGGCTCGCCATTTTCTTCCATCTCCACTCCCTTCTATTGCCTGTTTGGCGCTGATGGTGATGTTTTGCATTTAGGGGAGGAATTGTCCCCACATGATTCCGCAGCTGGATTGGATCAGCCATCAGCTTCGATTGGCGGTGGAATCTTGGCAAAACACAAATCCACTCAATAAGGGAGCTAGGAAAAACCTAACTCCCTTGTTGAGTGATTCAAGTTGAATCACTCAAGAGGGTAGTTACGTTTTATCTCACTCCCTTGTTGGGCCCTTTGTGTTCCAATTGATGTCACCTATTCAACAAGAATTACTCAACAAGGGAGTTAGGTTTTTCCTCACTCCCTTGTTGACCCGTTCAACGCGAATCACTCAACAAGGGGGTTAGGTTTTTCCCTACTACCTAATTGAGTAGATTTCACTCATTGCCTAGGATGCCCGTTCAAGAAGAATCACTCAACAGTGGGGTTCGGGCAATCCCCGTTCAAGAAGAATCACTCAACAGTGGGGTTCCGGCCAATCCCCGTTCAAGAAGAATCACTCAACAGTGGGGTTCGGGCCAATCCCCGTTCAAGAAGAATCACTCAACAGTGGGGTTCGGGCCAATCCCCGTTCAAGAAGAATCACTCAACAGTGGGGTTCGGGCCAATCCCCGTTCAAGAAGAATCACTCAACAGTGGGGTTCGGCCAATCACCGTTCAAGAAGAATCACTCAACAGTGGGGTTCGGGCCAATCCCCGTTCAAGAAGAATCACTCAACAGCGGGGTTCGGGCCAATCCCCGTTCAAGAAGTATCACTCAACAATGGGGTTCGGCCAATCCCCGTTCAAGAAGAATCACTGAACAGTGGGGTTCAGGCCAATCGCCGTTCAAGAAGAATCACTCAACAGTGGGGTTCGGCCAATCGGAAGAATCACTCAAATGTGGGGTTCGGGCCAATCCCCGTTCAAGAAGAATCACTCAACAGTGGGGTTCGGGCCAATCCCCGTTCACAAGGAATCACTCAACAACGGGGTTCGGCCCTGAACAGTGGGGTTCGGCCAATCCCCGTTCAAGAAGAATCACTCAACAGTGGGGTTCGGGCCAGTCCCCGTTCAAGAAGAATCACTCAACAGTGGGGTTCAGACCAATCCCCATTCAAGAAGAACCAGTAAACAATGGGGTTCGGCCATCCCCGTTCAAGAAGAATCTTTCAATAGTAGGGTTCGGCCAATCGCGTTCAAGAAGAATCACTCAACAGTGGGGTTCGGGTCAATCCCGGTTCAAGAAGAATCACTCAACAGTGGGGTTCGGGCCAATCCCTGTTCTAGAAGAATCACTCAACAATGGGGTTCGCGCCGTTCCGCCTTCAAGAAGAATTGCGCAACAAGACAATAGGTTAGGCTGGCACTAAATGACTTTGAACTTTATATGGTGAATTATGCGCTCCGGAGCGCGTAATTTATTTTAATATGTTTGTTGAATAAAGTAGGCTTCATGTCCACAATGGTTTAGGCTGGTACTAAATGGCTTTGAACTTTATTTGAATGAATTGCGCGCTGTGGAGCGCGTGATTTAGTTTAACTGCTGTTTAACAAATCGAAAGATACAGGAAGTTTCATGGATTCCATGAGGATTCCATGAGGTATAATATATTTGAGTTGATAGCGTGGCCTGGTATTCAATGGTTTTGACTATTGTTTAAAATAAATTGCACACTCCGGAGCGCATAATTTATTTGATTTCAATAAGGCCCAAAACAAATGAAAACCAGGCTAAACTATTCTCTTTGATATCAATCGGATGCAAATAAAACATAATTTACTCAACAAAAATACTACAGCAAATAGAGTTTCATCTCGAGGAAATCCAGTTAACTTGTCACTCCAGCCAAGCCTTCATCTTTGTAAAGCACCCTTTGGTGATCGAATAATAAGGGAAGTCGGATCTGTGTGCGAAAAAGAAATCCAGCTGATTGCCATCATTTGTTTGTTTGATTTTGTTTGTGGGACTCAAAATTTGGTTTCATCATTTGATTTTCAAGAGGGTCATTTGGACAACCCTGTTGATTTTGATTCTTCAGCTGAAACTGGAGCACAGGGTCAATGTGCCAGCCATGCACCAGTGGACAGCTCAAGCTGCTGGTGGAGCAGGAGGTTCCGCCGAGCGGCACGCACGATGCCCTGCCAAACATCGGTCCGCATCTTCGCTGCGGCCGCAAAAACGTGAGCTGCGACCAAGCCGCTTCTTTTGCATCGTTGCAAGCTGCTTGATGGACAGGATGTTGACTGGTACTGCAAGATTATAGAGTGACCCTGATTGTCCGGAGCACAACGAGCACATTATTGGTACAAGTGCTGAATCTTGTTGGGCTTGAGAATTGTACTAACCCTGGGGATCCCCAGGGTAGACTCTCAATATATCTTAAGATTCATGAAACTTTTATTGTGTCGCAGATCTGGACAATCATGATGCCAAATGCTCATAAATGTAGGCAATCATGCACATCAGTATTGTAATAGTCCTGAAACCCAAGGCTTCGACCGAGCTGCGGCAGAGTCCGGCATGCCGAGATCCCAAGCGGGAAACATTCCGGCTGCCCGAGTATGTCGGTGTCAGCAACGGAATCAGAATCACTGTGGACCTCAACATCCTCAACCAACAGAACTGTGGACCAATCAGCGATGTTGACCCCAAAATTTCCCAAAAGGATTCAAAATGTTCAAAGGGCTCCCCCATCCATCCCCATCCATCCCCATCCATCCCCATCCTGTGGATTCAGCGACTTGGGTGGGATTGATAAGTTTTATATGGTTTTGCTTTGTGTTCCGCTTGTCAGGTAGTGAATGCTGGGATCCACCCTTCCTTGGTGGACACCTTTGGTCGAAGGTGCACTGGTGGGTCCTTATGGCTGTGCAAGTGTCAGCTTCGATACGGAGATCATTGTTGTTCACGGGTTGAGATAAGTGAGCGAAGGTTGTAATCTAAACACCGTCCCAGTCCTACAAAAAGTCAGTCTAGGCTTTGAAATGCCTGTCCATTGCGTGAAAGAGGTTGGTTTTCACCTGGTTTTCTATTTCTTTCGCAAAAAGATGGAACGATTTTTATTACTTGATGCTATTTGACCTTACTGTACCTTCTGAAAAGTTTTTGGTGGGCAAACTCGACTGCGATATAGCCACATGTCCTCGAATCCTGTGTGCCAATCATTGCAGCAGCTCAAGAGGCATCACTACCTGCGGGTGTCTTTGACAGATCGCTGCAATCTAAAGTGTGAGCTGGCAGCATCAAGATGCGAAGCATTTCAAAGCAGTGAATATTGAATTGGGAAGGTCTACATGAGTCTAATTGAAATTCCTACACTCGGTTTGCTCATGCTTTTTGTGCGTGTGAAAGCAATATTTCACTAGCTTACCTTGCAGATTCACTTTTTCTTGCTAGCCATGGCTGCATTTCTGTAGCAGCATGATCCCAGGTATGTCACAAAGCTAGCGAGTTTTCGGAAAAGATCAATGTGGCAAGGAAAAGGAAGGTCGGAAGGCCTGCGAATACCTTAGTTAATCCTTAGTTAATTTTAATTCTTTTCTTGTTTTCTGAGGTCGATATTGTATGCCAGAGGATGGAGAGGACTGGCCAAAACATGCGCACCTGGAAACTCTTAGTTGCAAGAGTTTTTCACTGGCTTGCCAGGGCTGTTGAAGGACGCACAGGCAAGTTGTATCAAGTTGTTAGATACGACATAACATGATTGAAACAGAGAAAGTAAACATATCACAGTATATCCAGATTGTAGATGCAGGCAGGGTTGCAGGCAGTTCTCCCCATCGGCTTCACCGCAGGAAGTGTTCACTCCAACTCCTGGTGGCAAAGTCATGACAGCAGAGGAGCCGCAGTGGCGCCGCATGGCCTGAGCCACCACTGCCGTTGTCCTTGTCTTGACCCTTGGCATCCCTTGGCATCCCTTGGCATCCCTTGGCATCAGCTATCATATGCTATCATAATCTATCATATGCTATCATGATCATCATCACAACTGGTTCGTAACTTCCAGTTTCAACTTCAAAGCGATCGAAGTATATACTGACAGCTCCCATCGATTTGTCAGTGCGAGAAAGGTTATGCTACGTGGGATTGGGTGAATACGACGTTCCTTGCTGCTTCGTGTTTCATTGTGATTCTATGTGATTCTAGAAAGCCCCGAAGATGTTCTAAAGGAACCACCTAGAGCTGTGACTTGCTGCACATGCGAACCGAACGTTCCTCACGAGGAGCTAAACCGAATCCTGTGACTTTTCCTTCAGCTTGGAGTTCGGAAGGTCATTCCCCTTAGTGCCACTTGAATTGGCAATGCCACTGCTTGAGCAGCTGCAGAAAAGAGCATTTCTTTCCCCCAGCATGTCTTAGGAGACAGGATTGCGGCGTGCAAGGATCACAATCTGGATTACGGCCAAATTCAAGAGGGCAAGCCACTTCAATGCTGTAGTGCTTGGAAGCTTGTGTCCTTTTGAGCCCAGACATGGCAGGTGGTGCTGTATATATTTTGCTGAACCCACTAGCAACAAGACCCCTAGGCAACTACACCCACCCAAAACATCGCAACACATCCCAAAACTATCAACAAGCGTTCAACCAATTCAAATTTCTTTGAAGCAATCCTTGAATCCTTTATATTATATTACTGTGATTTACTGTATAATAGGTAGATGCCCATCCTGACATTCGATGTTCCCTGTGCTCCGGCTTTCTTGACAGGTGAGGCTCACTGGCGGAGAGCCAACGATTCGTGGAGACTTTGATCGGATACTTGCGGACCGGTTCACTGGGGTCGGGAGTTGCAATGTCCAGTGTGAAGCCAAATGAGATCCATGAAAATCTGATATGATGTGTAGTTATTCGTAGTATAATTATTTTTCGTATATAATATAATATAATACAATATAATATAGTATAATATAATATAATATAGTATAATATAGTATTATATAATAATATATAATATAATATAATATAATACAATATAATATAATATAATATAATTTAATATAATATAATATAATATAATAATAGTAATAAAAATAATTGTTATTATTATTTTATATATATATATACATATGTCCAATGTATATAATTATCGAAGGAAGTTTAGAAGTCAAACTTCCGACAATATGGACAGATGAAAAGCAGAGCAGGGAAGAGGCAGAGAGAAGAGGAAGATTAGAAGAGAGAAGAGTAGAAAGAGAAAGAGTCAGAAGAAAGAAGATGCAGATGCGCGAAAAGGTAGGAAAGTCGCGAAACACTGTGTTTTTCCAATGATTTGTGGCTCCGGAGGGTCAAAAAGTAGGCTCGCTAAAGCGGCGGGTGCGGAGCCAGCTGGCCAGATGAGTGATGAAAAATTGCACGCCGTTGTGGCGCGAAGCACATTTCGAAGTCAAAATGCACAAAACACCTCAGCCTCGGACCACTTTTGGAAGTTGCGATGTCGAAAAAGTGCACGCCGTTGTGGCGCGAAGCACATTTCGAAGTCAAAATGGCACATTTTGAAGTCAAAATGTCAAAAACACTAGGGGTTCGGACCACTTTTGGAGATTCAGATGTCGAAAAAGTGCACGCCGTTGTGGCGCGAAGCACATTTCGAAGTCAAAATGTTAAAAACACTGGGGTTCGGACCACTTTTGGAGATTCAGATGTCGAAAAAGTGCACGCCGTTGCGGCGCGAAGCACATTTTGAAGTCAAAATGTACAAAACACACCATTCTCGGACCAAAAGTTGAGATGTTGAAAAAGTGCACGCCGTTGTGGCGCGAAGCACATTTCGAAGTCAAAATGTTAAAAACACTAGGGGTTCGGACCACTTTTGGAGGTTAAGATGTCGCTTCGCTTCACTAGACTACACTACATTACACTACATTACACTACATTACACTCCACTACACTACATTACACTACACTACACTCCACAACACTACAACTACAACTACACAACTACACTACACTCCACTACACTAAATTACACTACACTACACTCCACTCCACTACAGTACACTACATTACACTACATTACACCACACTACCTTCCACTAGACTTCACTACAATACATTACGCTACACTCCACTACAACTACAAAACTACAACTACACAACTACACTCCACTACACTCCACTACACTAAATTACACTACACTACACTACTTTACACTACACAACACTACACTACATTACACTACACTACGCTACCTTCAACTACACTTCACTACATTACACTACACTACACTCCACTACACTACATGACACTACACTACACTCCACAACACTACAACTACAACTACACAACTACACTCCACTACACTACACTACATTCCACTACACTAAATTACACTACACTACACTCCACTACAGTACACTACATTACACTACACTACACCACACTACCTTCCACTAGACTTCACTACAATACATTACGCTACACTCCACTACAACTACACAACTACAACTACACAACTACACTCCACTACACTCCACTACACTAAATTACACTACACTACACTACTTTACACAACACTACACTACATTACACTACACTACGCTACCTTCAACTACACTTCACTACATTACACTACACTACACTCCGCTACACTACAACTACAACTACAACTACACAACTACAGTCCACTACACTAAATTACACTACACTAAATTACACTCCACTACATTACACTACACTACACTACATTCCGCTACACTCCACTACACCACATTACATTACACTACACTACATTACACTGAATGACACTGCACCACAGATAGACAGGTAGACAGATAGATAGACAGATAGACAGGTAGACAGCTAGACAGATAGACAGATGAAGGAGATAGATAGATAGATGGATGGATGGATGGATAGATAGATAGATAGATAGGTAATTAGATGAAAGAGAGAGAGAGAGATAGATCGATAGGTAAATACATAGATAGGTAGGTAGGTAGATAGTCAGGGAAAGAGAGAGAAAGAGAGGAGACCTCAACCACCTTTCAGTCCATCAGTGGCTTCACTCTGCCATCCCTGATTCACAACAACCAGTCTCTCCTATAGGTTTCCTATTTTTGAAACTTCCGCCACCGCCTTGTGCGGTACTACTGGTATATAATGTGTATGTGTATATATATATAATTATATATAAACAGAGTGTCACTGATGATGTCGCTGGGATTCACTGGGCCAAATCCAAATCCTATGCCATCGCAGGATATTGGTGAGATGAGGACACGTTTGGGAACCCAAACGACCTTCACCGGGAGCTGATGGCACTTCAAATATCAATGTGGAAGAACGTGGAGCATGCGCTTGGATGATGTTGGGGGATGTACTTATTTTTTTTTGATTTGTTTTGTAGTGATTTGGTACTGTACGATTTGGTGCAACAGGTGAAAACTAAAACTACGGTATTTTGAGGTTCAATGACATGCTGCAGTAGATGCTGCAACGGGATTTCAGGCAATGAAGGTCACAAAGTTTTTGATTCGTCCTGTGATCTGCAAAATCAAACAACGGAGTTACCGGAAGCAGGAAAGGCAGTGAGTTAATGTGAACTAGGCTGAATGATGTGAATGATTTTACCGTAAACACCCGTAATGGCGTAAAAGCCCATTGCATCCTGGAAGCTGAAGGCTTGCCTGAGCCATTGTCCCTTGGGATCACCACGAATGGCATCCGGTGCGCCGGGTGTTGAACAATCCTGAAGTGTAGACAGTTTTTGCGTTTGTTTAGTTTGCATCTTTTGTGTGCACGGTCAAAAGCTTCACAAACTCATGCAAGATGTGTAGAAAGTTCGACCGTGGAGTCGAGCGAGTTTTGTGAGCACAGAACTGTGGTTGTTTGATGTCCGTTAAGACGGCTAATCTTGTCAGGTTGAAGCGATTCCTGCCGCAGATGCGAGCAGCGGGTTTGACCAACATCAATTTGAGTGCGGCACCCACGCCAGACAAAACCAGGAATCCAATTTGAATTTGAGAGAGTTCAATTTTTTACCATGTATGCTGTTCGGTAACATGATTGTTTTTCAGGGTCAATGTGTGCAAGTTGTGTGGCAACGTCGTATCCGCAGAAGTGCGGTTGTGAGCAAATTTGAGTTTGTGAGACCTGGGTGGGAATGGTTGAGTGACGCCAGCCGCATCGCTGTGGCTGATGGTTTTACAGAGGTTTGGACACCCTGGAACCTGCAAAGTTCCCCTTCTTGGCCGGACGGCCTTTGGAATGGCATGTTGGGTGACCGAGAGCGAGAAGAAGAAAGGAAGAAGGAGGATATTTGAATTTCATGAAGAAAGCGTATTTGCACGGACACGCTATATTGCCGCTATATGTATCTTGATTGTTTATGATTATTCAGTCATTAGGGTCCACTACAGTGCGGTCTTGTTGCAGAAATTGCCAGCAAGTGCTGAAACCGGGAACCACCAGAAGCTGTGTGGATGTAAGATACAGCCCTGAAACACTTGATAGTATCTCTTTGACTTGTCTTTACGTATGGTCGTAAACATGCAGGACTACTCTCCCAGTGTGCATTGTTCTATCTTGAGACATAGACCAGTGTTACAGGAGTACGAGAAAATAATCATAAATAGTTCATTGGCATGACACGGAAATCACACGCACAAGGCCCGAATCATGGACGTGATGCATGAAGTTGCTGCCCAGGTCTGGCTTCTCAATATGGCATGGTGACTTTAAGGTGTTTCACTGGTACCGTTCAGATCGTGCATATTTCTCCTCAAAGGATACGTGTATGTTTGTACATGTTATGTTTGCAATGCAACTGACCGTCTGATTCTGATTTTTTTTGATATGTGTCTTTATCTGCATACACTTAGCACTCCACCATAGTCACTATCCAATTTGGTACCAGGAGGACTGCTTCAAGCTTAAGTTGAATTGCGTCCTTCTCAAGGGGGCCAACGAGGACACCCAACGCCACAGTGGCCACAAGTGGAACAAAAACCAACGAAAGAGGTAGGTACCAGGTAGGTAGTGCTGCAGGAACTCACTGTTGAAAAATGTGGAAACCCTGAGAGCAGAGTTTTCGTTTCGCTTTGTTTGTGCGAAGCAGGATGAGATCGGTGCTTTTGTCGACCTCACTGAGTCTTTGCCAATTGAGGCGGATCTTCACTGGAGCGGGACACGATAAAGACTTGACTAAGTCACCAAAGGATCCTGATGCCTCCATTGTGATCATTGTGCTAGTTGATCTTTAGTTTTTGTATGTTTTGTTCCCGCGCAAGGGATTGATCGACCCAGCAGAAGTTGATGCTGCAATCCACCCGACCGATGTACGCTAGCAAAGCTCTTGAATACTCCAATATACTCTAATGCATTCAGGGAGTTGATCAGTTGTGCTTCTTACTCTAATTTGAAGAACGAAAACATGTGCCGTATGCCCAACTTCCTGGTCCCCTGTGGAATGACTTCCCAGCCATGAAACAAGCAAGTTGCATGTTGAACTGTATTTCTGACTTGACGCATTAGAATCGCTGAGTGAGCTCAGCTGACATTCATCCAAGGAGCCACCTCTCATTTCATATCTACTGTATAATATACTTGTATGATATTGTATGGTATGATTATATATATATAATAATTAATTATATATAATATATATATATTGTAGTATGTATACAAAGGGCATTTGCCCAGTTTACCACAGCACGCAGACACTGCTAGGTGAGATTCCTGGAGTTTATGCCCTTTGATGGTAATAGCTGGAGTGCCAACCGCTTGGTTCCGCAGGCTGGGCTGGAGCTGAACTGGTCACATTGTTGTGACAGAACTGCGGAAATATGTTGCAAGATGTTGCGAACATTGAATGCATTGTCAAATATTGTCAAGTCTGTTGGGCAGAGAACGCCATTTCCAGGGACAGTTGTTGCAAACAATCATTGCAAGGGTTGTCTTACAGAGTTCATATTAGGAGTGCTCCACTCAAAGTAGCCTGGTTCAGAGAGGGTTAGAGTGGACAAGAAATGAAATGATTGGAGTCGACGCTGGAAAGCTATTGAACCAAATTGCTCCTGAAATCTTGAAGCTTGGACCTATCATCCAGTTGAGTGCGCTGCAAGGCAGACATGATTGAAGCCTTCCAAAAGCATTTGGAAGTCAAAGGCCAATCGCACGATCCAACTGCATGTTTTCTCGTCAAGCCAGCTGGTACTGTATGGTCGAGATCCTTCTGGTGTCTAGAAGTCCACAAAGAATCATAAAGATATATAAAGATAGGTTTTCATGCTGCTTCTGTCCAGGAATATATATCACTGTCCGGAGTAAGTTGCTCAACTGGCATAACTTCTTCAGGCCTGCCACGAGCAGAGCGGCTGCCGGAGATCTCAGTGGCTCCGTGCCTCACTTTCCGGGATCATGTTGGACCAATGGACCAATGTTGGACCTGTCCTGCGTTCTGACAAGGCCACCAGACTCTTTGCATGACGTCGCCCGGTTGTGGCAAGTGCAATGCCCAAGCTTCCGCAGGGGAAGAATTTTGGGGCAGGTGATGCAATACCTGAAGTACGATGCAATGATATGCAAGAGAATGTGCAGATATGTTCAGATAATCAAAGTGAAGTCCGCACAGGCAGTTGAAATTGGTTCAATTATTGCTTACAATCGACCACTCAGCAGACAGTTGAACGCAGCATTGCGACTGTGATTGGTGTCAATAGCACAAAATTATCAGCCTTTCGAATGAGTTTTGCGAAAAGTCTGTAATGTTTCTGGGACCGGGACATGTATTGCATGTATTGCCTGGGTTCCTCGTATTGCTCTGCAGTCATTTGCAGTCTACAGATGTCTACAGCGACTCCAAGTCAACATTGCGCGGTTTACCATGGTTTACGAGAGATTTGTCCCATGTGCCATGTCAGTGAGGACTTGCCATGACTTGCCAATGTTGAACATAAAATCACTCTCCGAACAGCAATGAACAGCATCAGTGTATTTGCCAGGTGCCTGGATGGAAAGGCCGGATCGGAGTCAGAACCTCGGATGTGGAATGTGCAGTATGTAGATAGAGATGAAGATATGGATTATAGAACATTTTAGATAATTATGGATACAGATGTATGTTGATATTTTTGTTGATATATTTTGAGATTATATTTATATTATTGTATAAATGTCAGTAGATGCTCATGTTGCCTGGTTTGTTTCGATCTTTTGATACCTGGAGCCGATACTGAGCTTCCATTGACAACGCATGCTGCATGACATGGTCATATCATGTAGTTGCATTATTTGTTCATTCGGAATCGCAGCCAACGAAAGTTGCAGCTTGAGAGCAGACCGCTTATTTTCACATCATGATAGTCACATACAGTCGGAATAAAAGCAAGGTAAAGCAAGGCTTTACAGCAAGCCCAACGCTACAAGTCATAGTAACTCCACATGCCGACCCGGCAAGCTACGGCATGGCTGACAGCACGGCTGAAGGTCATCTCCAGCATGACAGATGCTTTTTGTGGTGGCTGCAATCGTCTCCGCGTGACTGCGGCTGGTAAGGGCTTCTCAGAGCTGGCGAGCATTGTCGTATAACGAGCATTCTCCGGAAATGTGATGTCAAGTGGAGAACTTTGCTTCAGCACCTTTTCAACCGGGACCTTCCAAATCCTCAAAAATATCATTGAACTTCGGAGTTGACTATGTTTTGCGCACAAACGATGGATAATACACGCAAACGCTCAAGTTAAATGAATCTAATTACTGATATCACTGATATCTACTGTAAATGTGCAATCTGGACACACAGAAGGCCCAAAAAACGTCAAGGATTACCCGCACAAAAAGAATCACATCAAAAAAATGGACAAAATCACGCAAAATTATTTGAATTAGACTTCCGTGGATAGGCTGCGAAACGCTGAAATCGATTGAATCTCCTAAAAACGGAATTCACTGAATATGTTCAGGAGTTGAAAGGTAGATGAAAGGTCTTTCTTTCATGGTGTCTTTCTGCGAATGCTTTTCATATGTCATCATTCAAGGAATGAGTTCATCGATTCTCATCGGGAAGCGGTCTAGCATGCTGTGAGGTGAACTGCGCAACTGCCTTTTCGGCGAGGAAGGCCGAGTTCTGACTTTGGGATCTACAAACGCCAATGCTACTTGTACATTTGAATACATTTCACAGGTCCTGCAAAGCTATGAGAACCTTCAAGTAGGACAAGTGCTGATCAACATCCTACCCTTTATATCCTTTATTAATCTTTATTATATCCTTTATAAGGGAAACACCTCATGGGTTGGGTTGGGTGATCGATCAGCTGGATAGCTGGGGCTGACGGGGCATGTCTCCAGGTTGGAGCCTCCTCGAAAAAATTCGGAACGGGGCTTCAGATGAAGCCTTGGTGTCCCAAGTTGGAGATGCCGTCCAGAGGCACTGCTGAACGTCAGTGAATTTTCAGTGTTTGTGGCAATGTTGCGTAATGTTGCGTAGGTGTAACAGTAACAAGTTGCGAGACATTCCAGCAAGACATTCTTTGGACTTTAGGGGATAAAGCCAGGCAAGGAGAAGGAAATCCTTGAAGCTTGCTAATGAAGGTAATGAAGTGAGAGTCCGGAACAATTTTCACCTCGGGGCATGAGAAAGGGCTTCTGATACTCTGTCGTTGCGGCTACTGCAGGAAGCACTCCAAACTGGGCGGAAAACGAGACATGTTTGAGCTCCGGGAACGCGGTGACAAGGCACTTGGGTGTTGTTTGGTGTTGTGCTATGTGCAACTAACATCAATTTAGAAGTCGTTCAAGTAGTAAGTAGGCACAACTTCGAGATGAACAGTGCACCGTAATCTAGAAACGTCCTGACAACCAAGTGTAATTCCCTTGGCCTTGGAAAAATGTACAGAGCACAACAAACTATGCATGTTTTGAAACAACATGTTTATGAGGATGCCACCTGATCAGTCCAGACTTTTCGACATGCATACTCTGTAGACCTGGAACATTGACAACGAGGGTGTTTCACAAATGTTGTGTAGTGATGCGTACAGTAGTGTATCGTAGTGTCAAGAACATGTTCTTGACATCGCGGATGCAAAATGTTTCATTAATGCAGTCCCATGCAGTCCCAGTAGCTTCCAGACGAAGTTTGCACTTCGAGTACCAGGCATTGATAGGCATTGTACAGCGTTGTTTGTTTGATAGAGCCAGTTTTCATCCTTGGATTCGCCCGCATACTGTATTGATTTGCCCTGCCTCCAGCTTGGAACCCAAAGGTGATGATCATGATATATCATGATGGATCATGATGGTAGTGTCGTGAAATATACAGTACTGAGTACTGGGTGTTCCTCTGTGTTCTGACAGACTCGCCAGCACAAGGCTTTGCCTATGATTGCTTTGGGTGGCTGATACGGTCCAAAGACGCCGTACAGACGGCGAATGGCAAGAAAAGGAATGATGCATAGGAGCATGATTTGTGAACTTTTAGCAAGTGCAACCATGCAGCCCAGTATAGGAAGAGGCAGAGAAGAGAAGAGCAGAAGAGAGAAGATCAGAGAAGAGAAAGAGTCAGAGGAAAGAAGATGCAGGTGCGCGAAAAGGTAGCAAAGTCGCGAAACACTGTGTTTTTCCATGATTTGTCGCTCCGGAGGGACGAAAAGTAGGCTCGCTAAAGCGGCGGGTGCGGAGCCATTTGGTCAGATGAGAAATTAAAAGCTGCACGCCGTTGTGGCGCGAAGCACATTTCGATGTCAAAATGTACAAAACAACACACCATGAGCGTACTGTACTGTAGTTGTACTTGTAGTTGCAGTTGCAGTTGTAGTTGTAGTGTAGTGTAATTGAGTGTAGTGTAGTGTAGTGAAGTGAAGCGGAGGGAAGTGGAGTGTAGCTAGTGTAGTGTTGTGTTGTGTAGTGTAGTGTAGTGTAGTGTAGGGTAACTAGTGTAACTAGTGTAGCTAGTGTAACTGCAACTACACTACACTACACGACACCAATTACATTACACTACACTGCACCACACTACACCACACTACACTGCTCTGCACTACACTACACTAACTACAACTACAACTACAACTACAGCTGCACTACACCACACTACATCCAGCAGTTGTGGATGAGGTGACCTACCAGGTGACCACTGCAACCGTTGTAACCACTCCAAAAAACACAACTCCAACCACCTTTCAGTCCATCAGTGGATTCGCTCTGCCATCCGTGATTCACAACAATCAATCTCTCCTATAGGCTTCCTGTTTTTGAAACTTCCGCCACCACCTTGTGCGGAACTACTGGTGTATTGTATTTACATATATTTACAGTATAGTATATATATAGTACGTTGACTGTATGTTGTTGCCAATCAAGCAAGCAAGAACAGTCAAATCACGCGGAAGATGTTCACATTTTATCACCAGTCATTCCACTTGCCAGTGGCCGGTGGAGTCGCTGTGGCGAATTTTCCAATGTGTTGAGTGCAGTGATTAGTGAGCATCGCGAACAACTGCGGTGTGGCCAAGTTTGCGCTGCTTGTCCTGCCAGAGGTTGGACTTGTTTCGCACTCGGCGGTGTGTTCCGCAACGAGACTGTCATCACTGGAATCAATCGAACCTACATGGCATGCCCAAGGGATTGCGAATATGTGTCATAAATTGTTAGAACATGTTAGAAAACCTTGGTTCCATTAAGCGCGTTGCTCTTAAACCCGGAAGAGTGGAGATTGCTCTTTTATCATCGTCCAAAGGTCGTGAAACCAAACAATATGCTGTTGTATCATTCTCAGTGTGGATCTCTTCAACAGAGATTTAGACGTGTAATTCTGTGCTGTTTGTGACACTCCCAAATCACAGCAATGAGGCTGATAGACGGCTTGCAGCTTTTAAATTGAGGCCAGTGAGGTGTCCATCATTTCTTGGGACCACGACATGCTTAGTGCACACTGAAGCTCAGCCCAAAGCACTCGCTATATTCTATTCTGGTATCATGCGTTGGCATGGTCGAAACTCAGAATTCGGAATGGTAGGAAGTAGGGGGGTTAGATTTTTTGTGCTAGCTAGTTTGAGAGCAACTAAGGCATGTCGTGGCAACAGCGTTTGTCACGCCCTTTTCCTTAGATGCTCAAGAACTCCATGTTCCATATGATTTGAAACTGGAGAGTCTGATGTAGCTCCCCCTTGCCAAACCGCTCTAAAACGGATGTGAAGCAACAACACATAACAACACATTTCCTTCCAAGTGTGAAAGACAAGTAAGTTCATTGCGCAAGCTACTTGAACAGCAGGGAAAGCAAAAAGATGCCGACATTTGCACAATCTCTGTGCGAGCATGTTTGGTGCCAAGAATCGCCCAGAAAGTAGCGTTCGGTTTGTTGGCCACAAAACTTGAGACGCAAAGTGAAAAGATGCTGTGACCTGCAGTTGGATGGCTTCCTGCCACAAAGATGAATTATCCGCACAGGGCAAAGCAGTCACGTGGCGATAGTTGCTTGAAGGTCTCACAATACACATGGGATCGAACATTGCCTTCAGATCCTGTATAGTAAAGGGTCCTTAATCATGGGATATGATTCAATGATGGGTCATTCTAGGGTTTGCTGCAGGATGGTTATAATGGTGTGCATTGCTGCTGCCGCTGCTGCTTCTACTGCTGTTGTTGGATGTTGAGTTGAAGCAGTTTGACATGGGAAGGGTTGGGGTGGCATCCTGCCTGCCAGCCGGAAACAGGAGCTTGGAGCCACGCACTGGAAGATCAGATGAGCCACCATGACTAGTAACACTATTGGGGGCGACAGTGCATAACCTAGCTGGAAGCCAAGAAGAAGAAAAGGCTAGACCTGAAGTAGCACAACCAAACACAATCCTGGATGATTAGAATTAGAACTATATAGATTGTGATACTTGCCTACAATATGTTGATCCAAATCCTTTCCAACCTACCTCTGGACGCCACGGTTGTGCCCACGTTGCTACGATGGGACTCAGCAACATGGACAGCCAACTCACTGCAAAGCACCCAGTCTCAACTAAGAGGGTTGGATTTGTCAGCCATAGGTTTGTTTCTTGACCTTGTCCTTGATTGAACAAAGTCTCTTGGTTTGTTGCCGCAACCAGTGCACCGGCATATACTGGAGTGCAAGTGCCGGCGCACAGGATTTATGCAATGCATTACATACTTTGATTTAGGAATAAGTCAAAACGGCGCCTGAATCACATGTTGGTGCCTGAGTGGATTCCTCCATCGATTTTATTGTATGATCATTGGATAGGTTACTCAGAATGTTCACTCCCCGAGAGTTTGGTTGTTTGTCTCCGCACTTTGGCGTGCTACTGCATTTTGGATCTCCATTTTCATGGTGAACCTGGCATAGTCAAAACATGTCAAAACCCCACTCCAGGAATGAATCTGAGCACGTTTAGTACGGTGGAATATCAATATCATTATCATTTAATCAACCAGTGCCACTGGAGAGCCGCGATTGGAAGTACGATTGGATGTACCTGTGCAGCCGACTTCCTTGGACGAGGTTGCAAGAGCTCCTGGCCAACAATTCAGAGCTCAGCTACAGACAGGCGGCGGGATGTGGCAGGTGAGACGTTGGGGTTTGTTAAATATGGCTCCGGTGTAGCTCTGAGGATTAGCCAAAAATCTAAATTGATCTAAATTGATCAAATGGCTGAGCATGAAGTTTGTTATCATGTTATCATACATTTCGGGATGGTCTCTAATCCAAGCGTCTCTTAGACTCTTAGCCTGGTTCTAGTACAGCAAGCAATTTGTGATTTTAATAGCAACAGGATTTTGGCAGCCTGCATCGGATGTCTCCCTGGGTAACCATTGTAAGAGCCTAAAACTCTTTCTCTGTTCCTTCTCGAGGTAATTTGATGAAATTTGTGTAGACCGTTCTATTCTTCTAGGACCTGTTGCAGGTGCATGAGAAGCTTCAAAGCGAAGAGGCTTTCAAGGACGTGCTGCCCACCATAAACATGCGTCAAGAAAATCGTACGGTGCTACTATTTCCTGCCCTTGGTCGGGGCCATACGGAAGTTTTTCTTCTACAAGATATTCTCGCAAAGCCATTAGTCAGCAAGCAGCCAAAGCCATTTGTCCAGCTGACAACCCTTTGAGGAGGTGGGTTTCAAGAAAGTTCAGAAGTTGATGCGAGACTTGAAGGGGGATGGTCACGAGACCTGGTAGCGTTTGGCTGTGTGAGTTGAGTGGAGGCAGTAGAGGAGCTACCTATAGAAAGATCATGAAAGATCATGAAAGGTCATGAAAGATCAGCAAGATGCACAAATTGAGTTTGAGGCCTTTCAATACCAGAGCCCTTCTTTTAGCATTTCAGACCTTTGGAATTTGCTCCACATACTGGTCACATACTCCCCAGTTGTCATTACATTTGCTTTGCAAGGAAGGCTACAGCAACGACAACGAAAAGTTCGATAAGGTCGAAGTGCCTTCGCCGTTACCACAAGGGCCACAGGAGGTGGAGGCTGGGTCCGCAGCCATGGATTGTTCCCTTCCCCGCCATATTCTCCTGGAGGCCAAGGTTTGCGAAGGAACTGTTCTAGTTTATTTATGTTTATTTAATGTTTTCTTGTTTCTTGATATTTTCTGTTGATTCCTCGTTGACCTTCCTAGATAGACGGGACATGATGGGTCAATATACATCACAAGGCTCAGGTTGCTGACATTTGCTGACCTTTGAACAGAACCTTCAACTCCTGCCAAAGCTGGATATTTACATCATGTTTATTTATTCATTTTTGTGCCCTGGTGCTGCCAGATTTGCATTAGCAGACCTGACATTTCCCAAAAGTTTGGCATGATGATTGTTTCTCGGTTGCACGCAGCTATTCTCGGATGATACTTCGCACTGACCGCGTCACAGGGTGGAATTGCAATCACAAGTATTCACAAGTTGGTTTGTGTGCGTTCAAGCACCAACGAGGCCGCTGATTGCGTTGTGCGATTGGCTTCAATTTTTAAGTCACAGGCAGATCTTCAAGCTCTTGGTTCAACAGCTGCACATGTCACATTATTTCGATATACCCCTCATGCCTCTAGACGAATGGAAAGTGATTACAGCACCTTTCTGATCAATGGCTAGGCGACAGATTTTAGAGCACTGATCAGCATAGACATTCCACATCGACATCATTCAACCTATTGATAGACATAGATGCATATGTAGCATATAACAGCACATAGTTGTGAAATGTTGTGAAAGCTTGTTTGTATGCCGATCATGCTGCCTGCCCCGGACGAGTCCTTGAGTGCTGAGGACATTGAGCCAAATTTCGGTGGAGGCCATCGCATTAGCGAAATCAGAGAAGGAGGGCTTGTGGAGGCGGCTTGGTGTCGAGTCCATCACAGGCATACGGGATACAGCAACATGATGATAACATGATGCATGATGTGCAGTGATGTAATATGGCACAAGAATGCACAAGACATTACAAAACTAATGT